ATTGGGAAGAGTTGACATGATGACATGACATGATAACAGTAGAAGTACGAAAATGAATGAAGGCGCAGAGAGGAGCAGTTGGCAAAGGCGAAATGGGGGCGGTGAAAGGTTTGGGGGCGGAAGTGAAAGTCGAGGTTGGACAGTGGAAAGCGATGGACAGCACAGAACAGCGATCTCAGCGATGAGATGGGCATGGAAATGGAAAATGGTGCTCCTAGTAAAAGGAAACTCACCAGAGGCTCGTTGCTCTTCACCAGCTGCACAATCTTGATGGTCTCTTCGTCCTCGTCCATCTCGACAGGCGCCTCCGGTAGGTGTGGGTAGAAGTCCTTCTGGGCAATCGCATCGTGGGCGAATAGGAGGTGCTGGAAAATTTAATTTAAATCAGAGAAGTACAATACAAATGTTTGCGATAAAGGTTTGACACACAGAGGGAAATATTCAAGTACATTGTTCTTGAATTGAGAACATTCGTCCTTAAAAACCGTGAAAGAACATTTTGGTATCAATGTTCTTTCTTTCTTGTATATTGTTCTTATACATTTTGGGTTCCTTAGTTCTTTTCTCACCTGCAGATGAGAGTCCTGCAGCAGGTGGAAGGCCTCCTTGCAATCATCGTTCAGGTGACAATGCTGAGACAGCTGTTCCAGTACCTCGTACAACACCTGCGCCGAGGTGGAGAGCACGGGGGCCAGTCGATCATCCCGACCCACCTTGGCCACCTTCGTATGGACATTGACCAGGGCATTCAGCTCCTTGGATTCTAGCAGGGCCTTCAGGAAGTCAATTTCCTGGTCATTGGACAGATTCTCCGACTCCTTGAGCGTGCTGATCAGTTTGGAAAGAGCTGGAAGGTGTATGTAAAATGTATTTAATCATTTTTGACAGCCAGTCCAAGTGCGTCACTCAACTCACCTGGATCCCAGTTGATGTCCGATGCCATAACTGCTGCTAGCATGTCACACAACCGTCGCCGAGTCACTGTCCTTGCTTATCCCTCACAATTTATCCTTTGGCGCTGTTCCTATAATCGAGTTAACAAAATCGATATGCGACTTTAACAACAACCGGAGAGAGACTTTGTAAATTTGCGCATAAACATGTCAACAGGGGGCCAACGGAGGAGCACAAAACCCAAATGATAATTCCAGGCCCAAGGCTACCACCAACCACCCAACACCCACCGCCCAAAAACCATAAACACCATAACCTGCCCCTACCACGAAGCGAATTCTTCTGCGTCACTCGCCACAAAGGACACCAAACTCTGGTAAATGTTGCCAAAGCTTTTTTGGGATATTAACGAACAGTTCTAGCTCTATAAGGGGACTTTGCCAAAAAAAAAGACTTACAAAATTAGATTATTTAAAGGTAAAAAGAACGAATATTTGTAAGCCATGTTAAACATTTTTAATGAATATTATAAATATATCTATATAATATATATATATCTATATATATCTATATAATATATATCTATATAATCTATATAATACATATATCTTTAATATTTTAAGAAAATTAGTTGCCTGGAATATTATAAAATTTAAATGAAAGGGGTTCTTGAAAAGTACTAGTATACTAACAGTTTTAACAAACCTTAAGAGATTGCTTTCTAGAACTTTATTAACTTGTACTACTTCATAAATATTTTATGTTAGGATGACTCTACTTAAGTCTAAACCTTTTCCCAATACGGAAGATATGTCTAGCACTCTTTTAACTCGAACGAGATGTATTCAGATTTTCTAACAACTTCCTGGTATTTTTCGAGAATCGTTTTTCTTATAGAAGTCCCACTGTATGGTTACCATAACAACAGTTTGCGCCCCATTGAACCTGATACGTTGGGGTTGGAGAGCCCCACTGACGACGCCAAGTCTAAAGAACTCCCGGCCAGCAGAGCGCCATTGCAATTAGCTGACATTAAGCCAGGCCAAGTGGGGCGTTCGCCGTTGTCTGCTATTGGCTTCTGGCCAGGGGGCTAGTTGATTAGAGCAGGCGTTGGATTTATGGTCACTTTCATCTGGCCAGTGGCCCGGAATGTTGCCGCCCCTTGTTGCAATCTGCACTCCATTAACTGTTCAATGACTGCGCTTCCTGTTGCTGAAGGATTGAAGGATTGCTTGGGAGGGAGGTTAAAGAAAAAGCCTTGGCCAGGTGCCAAGGGGTCACCAGCACGCTGGCACCTTGCATGACCGGTACTCATTAGTGCCAAGTTTCTATGGAACGTTTGTGGGAGGTGATTAGTGTCAACTGAGTGGACGCTTTTGGAGCCCAAGACCAGGCCCAAGAATAGCGTCTCAAGTGGGGCATTCGCATGTCCTTCAACTTGCCATGGGGGTCTCGAATTTCTGCTTCTACATATGGTAATGAGACTAAACCAACAAGCATCTTAGCCCCTGGACTCTATCCGAAACTTGGCCAACGACCTTGAACTACATACTCGTCGGTACACACAGCCACCCAACAAAAGTCCGAACTACAACAATGTTCAGGGTGAGTTGCAGCGACGTCAGTGCGTGGGATCCGAGGGTTGCAGCCACTTTCAAGAGTATTTTGTTCCAGGGGGTGGACAAATTTTAACTACATGATAACTACCGTTGGTTAAACTACCACCATTTTGTATAAGCACATGTTTGTTACTCGAATTACAAGTTGCTGGTAGCACTAAAGGTTTACATCGTAAAGTAACTTCAAGATACTCCAAGGAGATATTCAGATACTGTTTATTTTTATTAAGTATAAGTAAAGTTGTATTTTAATTTATTATCAAATATTTATAATGGTATAATAGTATATATGGTAACTTTCTAACCAAATATTTTATTTCACGTATTCGACTAAAATTTTTAAGTGATGTTCATTTAACTTTCAAATTTTTATACATTTTTTGGGGAATACAAATTCACTATCAAAACCAAGTTGACTGTAGTTCGATATTGGTTTTTTGTCAAAAACCTTAGGACTCATCAAAATGCAGTTTTTTAATAATTCGTCTGTAGTTTCAGGGCTTTTCCCTTAGAGGGGGTGTTGCATGTGCAACTATTACTGCTGCCAATCAGCCAAATGACAGAAGCCAAGAAACCAAGTCAAGCCTGGCCCCAATCACACTAATTACGCTGAGGAAAGCCGAGACAGGCCAAGAGGTCTGGAGAGCAGCGAAATAATGACGTTGCCCGGGGGTCTGTCAATGGTGAAAGTGGTTGGAATGGGTAGACAATGGCAGTCCTTGTGGCTAGTAGATAAGGCAGGTGCCAGGTCTCAAGCGCCCCCAAATCCCTCTCCTTTTCGGGGGTTATTGAAAACTCGAAGGAATTGCACTGTGTTATTTAAATCAAAGCGAAGAGACACTCTGGTCATACTGAAAATAGCGGTGGCTAAGAGAAAATCAGAGAGAGAAATTGAAATCACAGAGACGAGAGAGGAGAGAGTTTACTGAGAGGGCATTGAAAGTTTTCCCCTGCCCTGAGAATTTGATTAACAACAAAATCTGGCTCGACAAAAATTAAGACCAACTATCATTAAAATAGAGGTTATCACCTGGAGTTTTTCTGGGCAGTTGGCCAATAAGATACTGACGGATTTCACTTGAGTCCCAGCGTTGTTTTATTTTTAAATTTCCACTTCACTCGCAGACATTCACGCACACACAGAGGCACTAAAACACGGCATGTCTGCTATTTTCGCTAATTTTCTCGCTATTTTTAGGCCACTAATACTGCGTTCTAGTTAGTTTAAAGTTAACCGTTATTGTTTTGGGTATCCTTGGGGCTTTCGGCGGATTTCACATGTTCCAGAAGGATTATCAAGGTGATTGTCACCTGAGTCCGCCAGCGGGAATCCCAGAACGGCGAATAACGGGAGCGACAGCGACTGCACACGATGGCTAAAGAACAACGTTTAATTTCAGAAATTCTTTTTAAAATTGAGACGACTTTGACGACCATGTCGTGAATCTCTTTCACTCTCTCTACGCTCTGAAGCTCTGTGAAGAGACTATATCTTTCCACTCTTAGGGGTTCTCTTAGTTTCAGGACTTAATTTTAATAAAATAATTATTTTCAACAGACATTTTTAAATATAACTGTAGCAAAATCACGAATTCTTTAAAAAAGCTCAACTAATTTAAAAATAATAGATTTAAAAAGTTTTCGTAATGTTACGTTTAAATTGCTTATCGTACATTATTATACATGCTAGCATTTTTCAAAAAATCGTATTTTCGAAAAAAAATTCAAAATTTTAAAATACTTGTAGAACCCCATTTTAGTTCTTAAGTATCTAAAATACTATTGATTGTATGAAGAGTACAGTGAAGTTATATAGGTTTTAAAACAAAATATTATGTTTTTCAAATATAATATTAAATTTTTAAACCACTGCGGTGTTTTCCTCAAGAGTAAATGTTGGAAAAGAGAATTCTAGAACTGCAGAGAGTGAGCGAGAGAAATTTAGTAAGTGGGCCGACATCGGAAATGAATGGGTCAAAATGCACCACCAGAGAGTGGAAATCCTAAAAGTGGGAGAGCAAGAGCGGACTTTTGCTGGGGTGGAATCCGCGCAGGTCAGCAAAAACCCAGAGCGGAAGAAATACAGGGTGTCCAGATTTTATCAGCAGAATCAATAGAAAACCTATTAACTTTCAGAAACATTAAGAAATTTGTTAAAATTATAAAAAGTAAACACATATACGTGGTGTTGAGATTTATCAAATCATAATAATAAAACCTTTTTATGGGAGAATTTTTCCAGATTTTTTATTTTTGTCATATTTTAGAACAGTATTTTAATATTATGTTTTGGTTTTTGTATAGCTCAAATTGTCAAAGCTCAGAACATTTTTTTAACTTGAGACCCGATTTTTTAATGGAGATTATAACCACCATATATAACCATATACAACCCATAGGTTAGACATATTTTAAATACACATTTTGGGCTATATGGTAAAGGAACTTTTATTAAAATTATAATTCAACTACATTATTTGGTAATCCCTATCCCAGCAAACCGCCACCCGCTGCGCCCGCACCCGCAGCAGCTCCGAGTCCGGCGAATCCTCCACCGAACTTCTTGTCGTACCGGGCGCGGTATCCACCGCCGAATCCCCTGGCTCGCACTCGATAGCTCTCCTTGTAGTGCCCAAATCCGGCACCTCCTCCGATGCCACCACCAATAAATCCACCTCCTCCTGCGAGTCCCAGAGCCTGCGGTTGCTGTTGGATTACGGGCACCTGTTGCACGATGGGCACTTGCTGGACAATGGGAACTTGCTGCACCACGGGCACTTGCTGAACTCCTCCAATGGCTCCTACACCACCAATAGCTCCTACTCCTCCAACGGCTCCAATAGCACCTCCTCCCAGCGAATGAGCTCCAGTCCAGCTCCAAGCGCTAATTCCCAGTAACAGCAAAAATTGCACTCGCAGATCGCACCTCATCTTGGCTGAGTGTCCAATAACGATTTGAGTTACCTTACCCGAAATCACCTGGTTTTTAATGCTCAGGCCAGCGACCTTCGGAGTACAAACTATGACGATGATTAGGTGTGAACCACTAACCAGTGGGCAAAACCATGATTCCCCTACTAGAACCGCCGAAAAACAGTGCTGGGGCTTTAGAGTCTTTGGGGTTTTTTATAGTTGGGCGCCCCAATATGCCAATTGGTAGAGCAAACAGTGGCCACTAATTAATTTGCATAAATAAGCAGCTGGGAGTGGGGCGGACCAAACAGTTAACCCCATCATGTTGTGGCAAACGGTCTACCTGCTCATCTTGGCGTGCGCCGTGGTCAATACCACACCGATCCTCTCCAGCAGTGATCAGGAGAGTATTCGAAAACCCCGGCATATTGGAGGATTTGGAGGAGGTGGAATAGTTGGAGGCGGGATCGTGGGAGGCGGCGTCATCGGCGGAGGAGGAGTAGCTGCCCCCATAGTGGCAGCCCCCGCCATTCAAACAGTTCCTATAGTCTCCACCGTACCCATAATCACCACTGTTCCCGTAGTATCCAGTATTTCTACCATTCAAACGATCCCTAGCTATGGTTATGGATATGGTTATAATGGAATTGGAGGAGGTGGTTACCCAGCAGCTGGAGGATTGGGTGGACTTGGAGGTCTTGGTGGTCTTGGTGGCGTCGGAGGCGGTGGTTTTGTTGGAGGCGCCGTCGGTTTTGCCAAATTCAAAGGCGGCTTCTTTGGCTAGATCTTTCCGAATAAGTCTGAGTGTGTCTCGAGACCCTCGAGTGTAAACAATGAATAAACAAAAGTGCTGCGAGATCGAGTTTCATTTTGCCGAGTGTTTGGAATCAACAAATTCGATGAGCTTGCATATTCCGTTTCCAACTGATTGTTGGTTTTCGTTGATATTTCTGGAAGAGTCTCTCGCTGGTGTTTGCTTTAATATATATGCCGAAAATCGCGCGAGGCGAGTCGGATGGGCTTTTTTTTATGAGTGGTAAACAACAAGCCATCAAGCGATAACAGTGGGTCAAGTTGGCTGGCTTGGAGAGCTATTGGATACTGGGTAATCGGAGTGCTCATTCGTAATCGTAATCTTGGTTATCAAATCTATAACTGTTTTACTTCTGAGTTCGAGGTAAAGGTTTTGACATTGACTTGTTCAGAACTTCTTTGTTGACGACATACTAGCACCTGATTGTCAATTTCCTACCATTTTATTTTACTTTCAGTGTACATTTTTCAATGGATTACTATTACAGAAGTCATGTTATACCCTTACATGATTTTTATTCAGCATTGTATTACTTATTAATTTGATATCTTGATCAATCGGATATCATGTTACCCAATCCACAGCGATCTAGATTTTGCTCCACTGTTTCTCACACTTCCGCATTATATTTCATTTTATCTTCACATTAAGATTGGGTCAGCCTAATGTATTTGTGTAGACGATTTTTTGGGGTTTTCAAGAAAATAATTATTCTCGCCGGCTTTGCTTGGCTGAGATTGAAATTAGACGAAAAATGTATAAAAAAAAGACACTCAATGGCAATCAGCAAATGCCAATGAACCTCCTTTGTTTTTGAGACCAGGTGCTGGGTGTTCTTGGCAAATGTTTGGCTATAAATTAAAGACCAGATGGGCTTTGAGTTTTAGTATTTCACGAGGTTCGATAAGGAATACGACAGCGAAATGGATTACAAGCGGATATTATTTTTGTTCAGTATTGTTGCACTAATTTTGTGTAATATTGTAAAAGCCGATGAAACGGAAACGGAAGTGTTGAAGGAGGAACCCAGTAACGAGCAGCTTTTGGAGGCTGGTGAAACTACCCAGGCGGATTCCACGGATGAGAACGTTAGGAGAGTGCGTCAGTACTTTGGACCACCACCCTTTGGACCTCCACCACCACCCTTCTTTGGCCCACCCCCACCCCCTTACTATGGCGGTGGTTTTGGCGGCGGTTACGGTGGTGGTTTCCAGAGAACTCGGGTGGTCACCCGCACCCGATACCGTGGACGCGGTGGTTACTACGGCGGTGGCTTCTATGGTTAATCAGTTGACATGGATTTGAATAAACCAACTTTGTGATACTTCTTTTGTAAAGCTGCCCCATCGGGTGCAATAAAATTATTTACCTTATGCAAGTCCATTCAATCGGTTGTTTATTACGCTTGATTAACAACACATTGGGTTTATGGCGGGGGAAAGCTAAGATCGGAGGTGTTTATAAGGGGGCAACGCGGTTGGACTCCGAAAATGTGGCGCTTGCTGTTGCTGTGGATCACTGTGGTGCTGGTGGCAGCTCTGGATGAGCGGGAATTCGATCCACAAGTGGCACCTCCTCAAAGTTCAGGTAATAAATGTTAACCAATATCATAATACCACAATTTTTAAGGTATACAACAAATTACATTTAAAACTTGTTAACTTGTTAACTTTTTAATCATTCGATCTTTAATATTAATCTTTCCCCTTTCAGTTTCGAAACCCTTTCAACTATGGCGAAATTTTGCGAGCCAAGTGCGTCTGGTCTTCAGTCGCTTTCAATCGACAACACCCACTCCTCCCACCGTTAAGACTAGAATGCGTATTATCACCACAACTTCAGAGCCAGAACTGCAGTTCTATGGAGCTTTGAATCCCATATATCAAACGGGGAACTTTTAACTTTAACTTAATTAAATTTTATTACGAAATTCTTAGACTATAATTTGGATGTATGACTGCTACATTAGCGGAACTTCTTGTTGAATAGGCTCTTGAAGCTGCCGAATCCGCCGCCTAAGCCGTGTCCTCCGAATCCGCCGCCAAAGCCGTGTCCCAGACCACCGAATCCTCCTTTCAGGCCACCAAGTCCTCCAAATCCGCCAAACTTGCCACCAAGTCCTCCCAGACCACCCAGTCCTCGGGCAACTCGCTCGCCCTCCAGTTCATCCACTTGGGGATCCTGTTCCACCTCCAGTTCCAGCAAAGTCAACGGTTCATCATTGTCCAGATCCAAAGGAAGGGCCAGGGAGCAGCAGATCAGGGCGATCAAGGCGAGACTCAGAAGAAGGAACTTCATTTTCGGTGCTTCTCGAAGGGATTCCAAGAGAGATTAAAGATAGCTGATTGATGGATGCTGGCCGGATTGGTACTTAATAGCAAGTGCCATGACAACTAGGTTTATATACTTCTTGTCTGGGTCTTGGGCTCGTGCGAAGAGTTGCTAATTCGCAGTGTCAACAAATCGATGGGCCCAGCAACGGCTGCGATATGCGATCTTGACCAAATATACTCGTACTTTCATTCATCCAAAATTTTTGTTAGACTTTTGGGATGGGTTTTTGGTGAGATTGGTCTTTAAAAGAGTTAGTGTGTGCAAATGGTTGAGTTTGCTCAGGTCTTTAGCTTGGGCCTAACGATAGTTACATCATGTTTGCCATTGCGATTACCAGGTTGATGGTCTTGAAACGTAATTGCGTTGACCTTAGTCTCTGTTTGTTTGGGACCAGATACAGATGGCTCCTCCTCGATGATTGAGAATTAGAGTAGAACTCCTGCTAATCGAAATGAGTCAGAATTTTGCTGACGCGCGACATGGTCGGCTAAATATAAAAACAGCTCGTTTGTGTCTTAAGTCATTTGTTTATTATGCTAATTACTAGATATAAAGATTTTGCTTAGCACCTATGAGGTATACATATATGATAGGGGTCTATTGCCTCCATCGTGCGTATCTCTCACGTGTTGCCAGTTTTTGACGTCTTCTTAGGAATTTCTTGTAGTATTTTGCATTGACAAAGTGTTTGGGATATGTAGTCACTGGTTTTTGGTACCAGAGCATTGAGGACTGTCGGTGGCGATGTTTGCTCCTGGGTTCTGGAATAACATTGTAGCGGGTTTTCCTAATTTGATCCGGGGCAAAGGGTCTCGACCAGGCCACAGGATCCAGACTGGCATCGTAGCCAGCTTCGTTTGCGGGCCACCAGGGTTTGGACTCGCAGTAATCCATGAGAACCAGTAGGATGATGGGTATTACCATCAGAATGTAACTTATCGCGGAGTATTTCATTGTGCAACGGTTCACTAAAGACTGGTGCTCTTTGACCTTACAGCCCGGGTTCTTATACCCAGCTGAATACACACCATTATCGAGTTACCCTGAGCCATATGAAACAACTCAACTACCTGCCCGACTTATCAATGACCCAGGTACTCAGATAAATGCATTACGCAGGCCAGCAAATCACTGTGGATCGTAAATCAGAGTGGTAAAAGGTATCTTTATCTCTAGGGGGACATCGATAGTAAAGGGAAATAGTTCAATGCCTCTGCGGGTGTCAATCAGCATGTTCGTTTCACTTTCAAGACTTGTCCCCTTATCCCCGATTGCTGAATTTGCTAAATTACCAACCTTGCACTTGACACCTGCTGCTTAATTAGCGTTTAAAAAGAGGTTAGTGTTCTGGTTATTTCTGGTGTATTCTGTTGGAGATCGAGAGTGTAGACATACGTCAATTATCTGAAGTTTGGAAGAAAGCCATTAAGTCTGTGGTTGGCTTTTACTTTTTCATTTGTGGAATATATTTGATCTGTCAAAGGATTGCTTTACTTTACGGAATTTTACATTGGTCCTTTGCATATATTAAGAAGTCTCCCAAAGAATTCCCAAATGAAATACTAGGGAAATCTTTTTAGATAAATAAATAAAACGCCGCAATACAAATTTGTGTTTAAATGTTCTTGTATTTTGCAAAATAAATAGAATAAATTAGCTTAAAATGTATAGAATTTCGGAACCCATTTAAAATCCCGGGGCGTAGGTCTGCATGTTCATGCGTCCCAGGAACCCACCGGGTGGTGGATACAATCCCTGCATGTTGAGCTGAGGTGCTGGATAAATTCCCGAGTTAGCTCCACCGAATCCCTGAGGGCTTGGGTTTGGATAGAATCCCTGAGGTGCTGGGTATAGTCCGGAGTTGCCTCCACCCAATCCCTGAGCATTGGCCATGTTGACGATGCTGTTCAGCGACTGGAAGTTGTCCACAGCAGGATTGGGCACAAATCCATTGGGCAGCTGGGGATTGGGATACGTCAGTGGGGAGCTGCCATACATGGGCGGCACACCGGGATAGCCAAAGGAGCCAAAAGGGTTAAAGCCAGGGGCTGCTCCTGCCAGATTGGGATCCGGATATGAGGGAAAGTTGTTGGCAATGTTCGTCTGCAGGCCGGGATAGCCATTTAGGCCAGGTTGCGGTCCAACGCCAGGATATATGAGGCCAGGATAGTTGGGATACCTCACCAACTGGCCGCCCACGGAGCCCAGGGCCATCTGGTTCATCGGTAGACCCATGCCCATGGACATTTGCATGGGTTGAGATGACGTTGTTGGAGTCACGTTGGCCACCATCTTGACATCGGGATCTGCTGAGCCAGCCATCTTCAGCTGGCGCTCTTTTCGAACATACTGATCCTGATCCTGTTCCCGATGATCCAGTGACTTGGCCTCAACAGTGCCCAGTAAGAGCAGTGAGAGCAGCAGGAGGGCTTTCTTTGCAACAAACTTGGTCATTTCGGTAGCAATCTCTGGAGGCGACTGTTTGCTTCCGGCTCGATGGAATCCCCTTTTATGCCGAGGCCGATGGTGAAAACTTTCTTTTGCAATTATCCGCCTTGGTTTTTCGTTTAAAGTGATGCCTTTTTTTATGTTTTTATGGCGGCAAAAGTCGAACACTGCGGCCCACTGAGCGCCCTGTCTTCGGTTTTGTAATCTCTTTATAAACAATTCACACTTTTAGCCTAATGCCCAAGGCAAATAAGGTGCGAAATGTCTCAGCGCACGGAGTTCGCCTTGCAGAAAATCGTTGCTCAGCAGATGAGTCGCTCCGGTTTATATATCTCATATCTGTTGGGTAAAGCGGGGGTGTCTCTGCGTGAAGAAAAATTAAGAGTCTAGAAACGCAGATTGAACAACAGCCTAAAGGTATGCCATCAAAATGTCTATTACATCTTTTCTCTTTTTTACTAAGTAAGAAATCCCTAATTAACCATTTAGTGTTATAAAATTAAACATTTAAGTAATACAAAGTGTATCACATTTGTTTCTGTACTTGAATATTAATAAAATTGATCAATGCACTTTGATAAAGTGTACAGAAAGTCTTTCTTTAATAATGTAGATACTCACTTGAAGATTTGTACATGACTGCACCATCATTTAACTTTGTATTCGTAAAACTGGTAACTAATTTCAATATTAATCTGAATGACCTAAAAATAAAAAGTTGTTTAAATGCCTAATTCATTTTTATATTATAGGAGTAGTGGGATTTCTTATTAGTTAAGAGGCTTTCAATAAAAATCTTCAAATCAATTTGTTTTAAATCATAAATTTATTTTTGTTCAATAAATAATAATAACAATATTTGTACAACTTTTATAGCTAGACCTGTGTATCTCCCTAACTTTGAAGATGTGTTTTTTGGTATCCATCTAATATCTGGTATTCCTTGGCTTATTTTCCAAAGCTGTCGGTGTAGGCGGCTCTTCTAGCATCAGCACGAGCCTGGCGGACAGCCAAGGGATCATCGGCCAGATAGTGTGGGGCATAGTCCTCCGAATCGTAGGATCTGCGATTGGATCCACCGTTTCCATGCTTTCCGTAGACTGCACTCTTGGGATAGCAGATGAAATAGTCGCCCTGGTAATAATCCGCACTGGCTCGCTTTTGGCGCACTGGCTCTCCTGTAATATCCGTGGCCGAAACGAATCCTGGATCCTTGGTGTCATCGCCGATGGGAGCTGCTTGAATCAGGCTCAAACTGATGATCACGGAGATCACAGCAAAGATGATGGTGCACTTCATGTTTATCAGGTATGTGAGTGTTTTTCTCTAAGATGGGTGTGATTTGGAGTTTAGGGTACCAAACCCTACTACTACTGTCTACTACTACTACTACTGTTGGAGTTCCTTGGGGTTCTGTGTCTTATCTCCCGTCTGCCGTTTGCTTTTATAGCCGCAAATCTTATCCGAAACGCGCTAATTGTTATGACAGACCAAGTCGCCCATTCAGCCAGATTCCAGCGGTGACAGTATTGGGGCACTAATTTGATTTGCCGCACATCATTCAATACAATTAGCGGGGATAGGACCGCACAACATTTCCGTCAATGCGTTTTAGCCTTTTTGCCCGGTTTTGTACTCACGACTCCTCTCGTGTGACGTCAGTTGGGGGCTGAACCCCTTTGGGGGGAGTCTTTCTGTCTTTCTTGCGGTTTTTTGCTTTGGCGACATTGGCTTTTTGTTGCGGTAGGCACTGCCAACAATGCGAATGATTCATTTGCGGAGTTGGCCTCCTCGAAAGATCACGTAGATAAAATATAAGGCACCAAAATTATTCATCAATTAGATATTTCTTGGTATCAGATCTATGACGTATTAAGTAGAAATTCCATAGCAAAACAAAGCGAACCAGTTTCTAAGACATTGACGCTATTGATCCATGATGAATTATGATTCAAATCTACAACTTGATATCCTTTTTTGTCATGTTTCGTTTTTAGTCATAGTATTTTTTGTAAGCCTTGAATATATTTAGTACATATATATATATCGCAATGTTGGCTATATATAAACATAAAATTTTAATTTATTTACACTGCGGTTGCTGACCACAATAAAAATAATTTTAAAAAATTTAGATATGTTTTCTTTCTGAGAGATCTGTTGGGAGTGAAAAACCACAAGGGTGGTGTACCGTGCCAGTCAAGTTAGTCGACAGCGTGATTAAACACTTTGAGCCTTATTTTGCGACATGTTTTGAGTTATTTTGGGACTGCCCACAATTAAATATAACCTCCTTAACTTTAAACCTTTGAAACAGGGCTCCATACAAAATTCATAACATTGTTTTAAATTTCGTCTTGTAAGGCAAGCTCGTTAAAGTGAATTCTTTACAAAATATTTATTGCATACAACAAATAGTTTTGAGTGGGAGGCGCTAATTAATTGCACTAGCGAAAACTTAGAAATAAACATGAATCATGTTGACAACGTACCTGTTACCAAGGAAATGAATTCCACAATCGAGAGTAAAAAAATATTTACCTTTGCTAATTAGAGGTCGTGAATCATAAGATCGCCCGTAAGCATCAATTAAATGACATTTTTAATTGGGAGTTCATCTCCTCTGGTGTAATGTTGTGCCAGGAACTTGAAGGTAACTTTCCATTAAAATACTCGATCGCAAGGTTTTTCGGGGGTGCATCAAAGTCAAAGCAAAACCGCAAAAACCCTGTCTCAACCCCAGATGTCTGGAAATTGATCGAACTAGCTTTTTATTGACTTGTCAATTAGTGAGTGTTTCCAAAACAGGTTACATTATCCCAGATTAGGCGATTCCTTTCGGCTATACAAGCATTTCGCAATACGTTATCAAATTTAGCTTTAAAAGCTATAAACAAAAACAACTTATCTACCTAAAAATTAAAACAATTAACACCATATTTATAGTCTATTCTATTTTTAATTAAATGGCTTAGAACTAGCGGAATCTTTCGCTTGGAATATTTTTTAACTGTGGGAAAAATAGAGTTTTGATTGTCTTTGTATCGTATTCATTGATTAGCGTTTGTGGACAGGTTCCTGTCGGTTGCGTAGTATTTTTGACAATTTGCGTAAGCGAACTGCCACGCCCCTTACACCAACCGACCTCCAATTCTCACCCAAAACAAAGTCATATGTTTTTGTTTTTTCGTTTCGACTTTTGTCTATTTTCGCGTCAATTAAAAAAGTTATAATTATTTACGTCCCCAACTGGAACTGGCTGAGGCTGACGCTGAGGCGGATGCACTACCTCCTCCGAAGCCACCTCCGCCGTAACCTCCGCCTGGAGAGCCACCATAACCACCTCGTCGGTGACCACCTCCTCCTCCTCCTCCTCCGCAGCAGAATCCACCGCGTCGAAATCCTCCGCCAAAGTGACGAGCAGTCCTTATTCCGGTTCCATCATCAATTCCTGGCTGTGCTTCAGCATCCTCCAGGGTAACCTTTTGATCCTCCACTGGATGTCCGCTGATCAGGACAAGAACTGTCACGAAGACGAGAGCAAAGACGAGATATTGTTTCATATTGGATATTCAAACACTTTCTGCAACTAAATCAACTTGGGTTCCAACTTTTATAGTCAAATAGTGCGGGGAGGTCCCGTCTGAAGAGTAAGTGTTTTATAGCCCAACACGTGCTATCTAAGTATCATTAGTTATACCCATAGGGCAATTATCATAAGATGATGATCTCAACAAAACTTGAGGGCAACGGAAATCCCAGGCGCGTCAATTGCTGTCTTCAAAACACTTCCAAAACATTCTCAGAAACTAAAAACACTAAAAAGAATCTATACGTACACAGAGAAGAAAAGAATGACCAATTTAGGAATTATTTTTTATTTAATTTTAATAATGAACTTTGTATTTTTGTTGGGCCTTAATTTGTATTTTTGAACTCTTTTTTAACGGCAAGAAATGTTACTTTTATATACAATTTAAGCAAAACTAAGGGCTATGAATATATTTAAAAATTAAAATTTTAAAAGGTGTAAAGGTATTTTCTCTGTACACAGTTTTGTCAGCATCACATTTTTAGACCAGCCTTCAAGATGGGGATTTATTTCTCTTACGGTTGAATGCAGACTAGACAACAACTCTTAGGTGATCAATGACCCAAGCTTATTTTTTGCGCAGTTAATTAACTGCATTATATACGCGAATCAAATATTTTTTATCACCTGAGATTGGTTTATCTTTTTGTGCATCAGGGGAAGCACATTAATTGCTTAGGCGCAAATATAAAAATGTTCAGTGAGAAAGTAAAACACGTTTATTGACCGGTATTCAAGTCTTTAAATTGATGATCTTCAGATGAGCAGGCGAAACGAAATAAACGTAACAGATTTAAACAAAACAAATCGTATATCATAGCGATGGGTTAAACCGGTTAAGGGAATAAAATAGTGATTAAGGAGACCCTTCCAAATTACGTAATGTTCTTTTTATTGGACACTTTTAATAGTAATTAATTCACTACTAAAGATTCTGATGAATAATTTATTAGGTTTGAAATATAATTTATTTTAATTGTTTCAACCGATTTTATTATTGCTTAAGTTTGAATTAATAATATTAAATTAAAATGTAGTGTGGTGCTATTTCTTATAATTACTGATCCGCAAAGTATTCAACCCCTAACAAAAAGTCATATTATAAATATTAGACCATTGTTTTGGCAATAAACGCTAAACTCGGGTGTATTAATTGTCTAATCGGCTTTACTAACTTTTAGACGTCTAGCCAGACTTAATCAAATTAAAAGTCAAAGATTTCCACGTCTGGCGAAATACTAATCAATTAGAGCAAATACAATAATTCGAGACGGTCCCGAAACCCCTGGAAACACAAAATGGGGAACCGCGCGCTCTTATACGGCACGTATAAGATGATTCACAATCGGCCATGCGAATGTCTAGTAGAATGCATCTTCTCAGGGGTGAAAAGATTTCCAGCCCGCTAATTAACTTTGCTATTGACAATCTTTATTATTATAGCTAATAGCTAGCGAATATAGTAGAAACGCCCCCGGTTGTTGGCCTTTTTTAATGGTGAATGAAACAACAAGCCCAAAGCGAAAAAACCAGCGGAAGTGAGCGATCGAGTTAACGGTGTGAAACAGATTTCTGACTTATTTGGCCAACTTTCGGCAAGGTCAATGTCGGGTGCGATCGTCTGCAGACTGGGCCAAAAAACAACACGGTCTCGAAACTGGGCGTGAAAGCCGCGTGGCGCCAACCAGTTGATGACGTTCTGGCCAAAATTTGCAAAGTTCCGCTCGGTCTGCGATCATTATTTGAAGGTGCCGAAGGTCTTCTGGTCTGTTTTTTTTGGCAAGCACATTTGGAAAATCACCAAAAGAACTCTGTTGTATTAATATTATTGGGTTTTTCAGACAGTCTTCAGTTGCTAATCTGCATTCGACGGTTACGGTTATGTTTCTACCCGCGCGTTTGGCTCTTTTGAGCCTTCTTTTTTTGATGGTCTCTGGGCAGAGAAGTAAAGCCAGAGATAGCCGACCGCAGGGCAGGACTCTGGGTCTATTGACGCCTCTTTTACTGGGAGGTGGTAGACCACTCTTCGATGTTCCCCTTGCTGTAGGACCACCCATAAGACCTGGTGGATCATCTGGCGGTGGTGGCACCCAATCGGATTCTGTGGACTCCTACTACGGCGGTGGTTATCCTAGCTATGGATACAGGCCCAACTATGGATATGGGTATCCCAGTTACAGCTATAACTATGGATATCCTGGATTGGGTTACGGTTATGGCACCTACTACAGACCCAGCTACTACAACTATGGTGGATACCAGAGACCGCAGCCATATTATGGATACAGACCGAATTATAGTTCCATTGGAGCTGCTGCATCTTCTGGTTATCCCTCGAATGGAGGCTATGCTAGTACAGCTAGCATCTCAAGCTCTCCCTCCTCCAATCCCACAACGTCGGGAGTTGCAGTGGGAGCAGGAGCAGTATCTGGAACTGGTACACCACAGCTTTCCACCGCCCAACAATCCCAGTTAGCCGGTATTTTGGGCCAGGCTCTCGGCAGTAGTCTGCGCCCCCTGCTCGCGAATGGGGGCGGGGCAGCTGGAGCCTCAGGTGCCGGAGCAAATCCACAAGCCCTAAGCGGTCTACTCAGTTTGCTCGGCTAGGACTTAAGTCCATCAGTATTATAAATATTCATAAATATATTTTTAAGTCATCGAAATTTCTTTTATGGTTATTACTACTCGAAAAATTCGAAAAAGTAAGGCAATCAAATTCAGAATTAATCTACATTAATACATTCATTACTTTGGTTGTATTATCTATTTTTATAATCATTGCGAAGTTACTCTTGCCAGAAGTAAAATCAAATATTTAAAAATCAAAGTTATAAAAGAACTATGTTCTCATATAGCTTTTTTCAATACTTGTTATAATTCCATTGTTGTTATTTATACCGCTAATCTTTGTTAATGTTGTTAAATAAATATTCCTTATTTGTTAAAATAATATTCTTATTGGGTAACGGTTGATTAACTTTTCCTCAGCAAAGTGCCATGAACAATACATTTTATAAGGTATAACTTTATTCTTTTATAAATGTTGATAGTTTGCCAAACCATGCAAATTGGTTGAAAAGTAACATGTATGTTAACTATGAAGCTGTTGGGTCAGGGTTTCATAGTTTCTCGCCTGCAACTTGTAAATAAACTTCAATTAGTGGGCGAAGAACTGCATTTTCTGAGGTATAAAAGGTAGCAATGCAGATCAGTTGGGTCGTAATTGTATTTAAGGTGGATAGTCAATATGCAGCTCATATTTTTGGCGACTTTTGTGGTTCTATTGGGAGTGGTTTCTACCCATCCTGTAGAAGAGGATCCTGCTCCTGCTGCTACCCTGGATGATGTGGCTGATTTGGGTGGTGAGGAAGCGAAAGGAGGCGAAAGACCACCTCGTTGGCTGTCTGGAGGATGGGGAGGAGGTTGGAACTCAGGATGGAATGGAGGATGGGGTGGAGGATGGAATGGAGGATGGAACGGAGGATGGAATGGAGGCTGGAACAAAGGATGGAGTGTTTCTTATCGTCCCTGGAGCAGCAGCTATAGTAGCTACTGGTGGTAGGAAACAAAAAACAGTGGCTTCCCCAAAATCTATGACACCTTTTAAATAAAGCTGCTATTATAATATTATCAACATTTGTTTAAGTTCTTGAAAGCTCTCAGATTCTAATTAAGTCAAAAAGAAACTAAAGCTTTTAAAGCTTTTTATTAGCCGAGTCAGAAAAACAAAGCCATTTGAATTGTTTACGTTTTGGCATTTTATGGAAAACATTAAATCTATTCACCATTAACATACTTATTCAAAAATAGCAAAAAAGAAATGGAATGTCAGTCAATTCACTGGATCAGTGGATGCATAAAAGACCGTGATTTTGGCTCAGAGATCTACAGTTGCTCAAAGCAAAGAACCGAGAACAAACGAAAAAACCTATTCCAAACTTAGCTAAAGTATCTACAGGATGCGTCTTATTCTGCTGTCCATTGTTGGTCTTTTATGCCTGGCCTGTTCCTTCGCCTTGAATAATAATGGAGCCAATCTGGAGGACCTGTTGAGCGTGGTCCATCACGGAGGAAACCATGCCGAAGGAGGAGAGCGCCAGACTCGTGGTGGACATGGTCATTACGGAGGCGGAAATTACGGACATGGTGGTCATCAAGGTGGACATGGACACTATGGTCGCTAGCCTGAGAATTTTACATTTATTTCTCCTCGATAACCCGTTCCACTGTAAATAAAAATGTTTTTAAAAACTATTTACATTTGTTTTTTAAGCTGGGAAGAGACTTTTTCAAAAACCTTGCGTTGTTAAGGTAATCAAAGCTCATAAAATATAATTTGTAAACATGTAGATCATCTGTTGAATTAGCAATCAACAATGTATACATGTTCTTAAATTTTAAATGGTACTTCACAGCTTTGCAAAATCCCCATACCCAAAATGATATACTCATATAACTTAACAAACAATTCATTTTGAAAACCTGTAAAGCAAACCGCAAAACGATTCAATATATTTGAGGATTGAGTAATCTGAACTTGTTTGTTAAGCATATGACAGAACAATAGATACTTTGGTCTCCAGTACATTGGAAACTTGGATTTCTACCCAACGAAGAAATATAACAAAAAGCAAGCCAACAATGTAATACCCTTAAAATTTTATAGCACAGATATAACATTTTTTGCGGTGAATTGCAAATATGAAATTGAATATACCCCTTGTTAGAGTATAAAAATGACAAGCCCTCTTTCTTCATATACACTCAAATAGAAGAGCTTTGATTTTATGCAACTTTTTAAGCTCCAGAACTGTGTTTAAATTTGGTGGAACCCAAGTTTCTTAACAAAGTATACCCATACAAAAAAGTGGGAGTGTTTTTTTTGGTTCGCACGAGCAAATTAAGCAAATAAGTCAAATGGCTATTTTTTTGTTTTGAAAAATATTAAAAAACGCTTGGGATATTTCGAGGGGAACCTGTATGGACAGCTCAGGTTCAATGGCTCGCACTCGTAAATCCCCACTGGTTTACTTTTCAGAGTTTGGATCAAACAAGTCGATCTTGACATTCATTAAACAAACGAGAGCTCATTTCAATATGAATCCTTGTGAATATATATGATAAATCGAATTATCAAGCATCGGACTCTAAAAGTGTGTATAAGATCATTAAGTATTAGCCAGTTTTTAAAATAGATGTTAAGTAAGTTAAGATGTAGAAGGTAATATTCCATTTTATAGCTAACTGGCCTGAAAAAAAGCTTTACAAGTCAGAAATGTCTAGGCTGAATAGGCTTAACCTGCCATATGTCATGATGAGCTAGTGAAAGATTAGTTGGTATTAAATTTGTTAAGCATGCAAATAAGCGCAATTTACTCACAAAATGGAAAGTTGCAGTAGTCTATATTTGGCTTTGCTGATTAAGTGGCTTTTATTGACCATCGATTTGACGTTTATCTGCCAGATGCAGTCCAGTAAAAACCCATAAAGTAAAACAGGTCCCAATTGTTGACAGGCAACGAACCCTAATCGAATGATCTATGCATGAAACCACTTAGGAGCAGCATCCCGACAACTTTCGCAAATGAGACATTTAAATTTTAAATGACTCAGTAATGACAGCCAAAAAAAAAAAAGAACTGACAGACGAAATAACAAAGAGTGTAATAATTGTGTGGTGAAATATAACGATGCAAAACAGAACCCGGTCATAAAAGCCCCTAAACAATCGCACCTTGTGGCCAGGTAAATACATGGTATATGGTATAGTCAGAATATGGCAAGAGGTGCTCGAGGAGCTATGAGGGGGGTCTGTAGAGAGACCCGACTTATTGATGCGTATGAGAACAGGAACGCCGTCAGACGTGATCTTTGAATATAAGGCCTGCGATCGAGTCCACTAATCATCAGTTGCACTCAAGTCTTCACCAGCAATCAATCGAATCGAACAGAACGGAAAGCAAGATGCGTCTAACACTTCTGGCCCTCATCGGTGTCCTGTGCCTGGCCTATGCCTACGCCCTGGATGATGCCGCCGACAACGAGCAGGTGATCGGACTCCTGGACGTCGCCGATCAGGGAGCAAACCATGCCAACGATGGAGCCCGAGAGGCCCGGGGCGGCTGGGGACGAGGAGGATGGGGCGGCGGCGGCTGGGGTGGACACGGAGGATGGGGCGGTGGTCGAGGAGGATGGGGCGGCGGCGGCTGGGGTGGCCGAGGAGGATGGGGCGGCGGACGAGGAGGATGGGGCGGACACGGAGGATGGGGTCGTGGTGGTTGGTAGGGCCGATAGGCCGACGTCGAGCTGACATTGCTGACCACGTCTCTGCCCAAACCCACCTCTTGCCCCACATCAAAGGACACCCACCCACGGATGTCAAGGCGTTAATAAAGAACATTGAAGCATTAAAATTTGATTATCATTTGGAAGGAAGAGGTGTCAAGGTGGTAGAACTGGTATAATAGCCTTTAGAAAGAATATTTACCACAGCCAGGAGTTTTTAAAATCCTTTAGAAACAAAGTCGGCACATCTTTTGTATTGCCCAGTTTTGGCAATGTGATGCATTAAAATATGAAAAAGTATATTTAGTATAGCATAGCGCCTTTTTAAAAGGACTTCTGTCGTGTCAACAAAAAAGTCTTTAGACTTTAACTAATTTTGTTAAACCTTATTCATTTAACAAGTTCGTATATATAAAGGGGAGGACAAAGAAATACTAACAGCTAATACTTTCTAGGTTTAACCAGAGGTCAATAGCCTTACCCTGTCATATGCCTTTGAGTCATGACGGTTGTATTGCTGTTGAAGATTTACTCAATATTCCATTAGTTGCAGTTTACCTAACCGGTGGAAAAGTTCGGCAGTCTGCTGTATAAAAAGATGAGTAAGATAATTGATTGGATGTATGTCTACCAGACGCATTGCAGTAGAAATAAAACTGTTTCCGATTATTGACAGTTGACGAACCCCAATAAAATGAGCATCATTCTGACAACTTTCGCGAATGAGATTTTGCAATTTTTAAGAATTTAAAAATATTGCTGACACAGGAAAATAATTTGAAAAACTGATCGAAATTGATATTTTTGAATAATTGCAAAGACGAGCTTGATGGCTTTAAGCAGGTGTCAAATTAAAACTCTTCTCTAAATCATTTGGAATATTTCACATCCGTGTTTGCTAAAATTAAACAAAAACTAACTTTGCGTTAGTGGTGTTGTAGTGGTAGTCTGTCGGAAAAAACAGACACTTTTTAAATCTTTCCCACTATAGTATAACCAAGGGAAAAGCTAGAAGAGAGAGATATAAGCCCTGCCGTAGAGTCCAGAAGTCATCAGTTGCGTTCAAGTCTTCATCAGCAATCAATCGAATCGAACGGAAAGGATGATGCGTCTAACAATCCTAGCTATTATTGGTATCCTGAGCCTGGCCTATGCCTACGCTACCATCAAGGAGCCGGTAACTGTATACGTGGATAACATTGATAAAGGAGCAATTCCTATCAGATATAAGAACTTAACCCCCATATTTGAGAATTTGAAACTAGTGTTCAGCCATTCAGGCTACTGACAAAACCAACATCCACCCACGAGTTTCGACTCGTGAATAAAGAACATTGAAGCATTATAATATGGATTTTCATTGGTATCTCTAAGAAGTGTCGAAGTGAGTCTGAGCTTATGTTTTATATCCTTTCAGAGTGCAATAATTGTATATTGAAATACAACAATGTAAATCGGAACCCGTTAAAAAATCTAATAAACAGTCGCACTTGGTGGGAAGGTATATAGTTTATAATTCAATATAAATATGACAAAAAATGGTTGCGGAGCATATAGGGGTTGTTGAAAAACCCATACTTTTTGAAGAAGGGTCGTCGAATATAAGGCCTGCGGTCGAATCGAACATCATCAGTTGCACTTAAGTCTTTACCAGCTATCAGTCGAATCAATCGAAAGGCAAGATGCTCCTTACAATCCTGGTTCTCATTGGATTCCTGTTCCTGGCCTACGCCTACGCCCTGGATGATGTTACCAACAACGATCAGGTGATCGGACTCCTGGACGTCGCCGATCAGGGAGCAGACCATGCCAACGATGGAGACCGAGAGGCTCGAGAGGTTGATGAGGAATCAAAGGAGAAAACATTTCGTTATTGGATAATACGGCTTTGGATAGGCTGATGTCGTGCTGAAATCGCTTCGGCCAAACACACAACTTTCCCCACGTCAAAATGGCAACCTCGGATGTCGAGGCGTGAATAAAGATTATTGAAGCATTGCAATTTATTTATTATCATTGGTGGAGGTCACACGGAGGTGTTGTTTAGGCCTGTTAATATGTTTTGTTTTCCAACAAAGGCCGCAGGCTGTGTTTACAGATGACACTCTTTACCAGACCAGAAAAAGATATTTATAGATTATAGTGTAAAGCCTCCATTGCCGGTATTTCTCAATGTCGAGGTGGTCGAAACATAGTCTTACTCAACATGCAAATAGACCCAATAGTATTTACTTGGCTTATCATTTAAATTGATTTTATGGACCAGTTGCTAATCTCATTTCTGGAGGTCGCTGATCAGGGAGCCAACTATATAGGGTCCGCTAGACTCGCCAATTGAACTTTTTGAAAGTTTTGTTCGGTCAGCAAAGCAACTGACCAATTACGAGTCGTGAATAAAGAACTGAGGATACAGCATTAAAATTTATTTCTCAGTGGTATGTCTAATATGTGACAACGGAGATGGTTTTATAGTCTTTCAGGGATGTAATAGTTGTATTCTGAAATATGTGCAAAACAGAACCTGTCAATAAAAGCCTCTAAGCTATCTCACTTAGTGATCAGGCATTTAGTTTAATATACTGCCGTATAAATATGACAAGAAGTGGTGGGAAAGCTAAAAACGGTTGTTAAAGACCCCGTCTTATTCAGTCAGGAACGTCAAATATAAGGCCTGTGTTCGGATAGGAACATTCAGTTACACCCAAGTCCGTTGAATCGAACGTAAAGCAAGATGCGTCTAATACTGCTGGTTCTCATTGGAGTCCTGTTCCTGGCCCATGCCCTCGCTCTGGATGATGCTACCAACAACGATAAGGTGATCGAACTCCTGGACGTCGCCGATCAGGGAGCCAACCATGCCAACGATGGAGCCCGAGAGGCTCGAGAGACTGATGAGGATTCAGAGACTGAAGAGGACTCAGAGACTGATGAGGACTCAGAGACTGAAGAGGACCGACATATTTTGGTTTTTTTAAATCACATTTTAGTCCGATGACAAACCCACTACTTTCTCCACTTCAAAAGGACACCCTTGGATGTCGAGGCATGAATAAAGATTATTGAAGCATTGCAAATTATTCTCGTGGATTACATATAAAACGGAGGATAGTCATAAATCCATCGTTTAGTTTTAGTTCTTTAACAATTAAAGTAGTAGTAGTTAGTAGTTGGTATCTTTTTTTTCAAAATATAAACCAATAATATTTCTGATATAACTTAAAAATGATTTTGTAAAACATTTCCTATCGACCGAATTGGTTTATGTATTAGGTCTTTAAGACCTTTAAAGTGAGAAATGTATTAGTTGTATAACTTTGCAGCTTACATTTATGTTAATAACCTGTCAGATGCCTATTTGTCTTAAGGGGTCTTTCGCAATGATGTTATAATCAAAGTGAAAACTCCTTATAGTTTTAACTTGGCTGTGCCAACTAAATTTATACTATAGACGAGCAGGTGACAGAGAACAAACCATATCGATGGAATCCGAGGGTCCCGCCATTGGGCGACGTGACACACAGGACTTTTGGGAAAAATTTCCTATTTCCTGGTTTTTCTGACAGGTCGGCTGACATCGCCGACCACGCCTTTGATAAAAGGACATCCAATCACGGATATCAAGGTGTGAATAAAAAACATTTAAGCATTAAAATTTTATTCCAATTTGGTATTCGTGAAGAGGTGTCAAACGGAGCTGGTGCTTAAGCCTATTATTATAGCCTTTTCAAAGGGTATCCACACTTTAGCCAGGAGCTTACAACAACCCTTTTAAATATAAATCGAAAATTGAAGAGCTTTATAACACAACTTGAATATAACTGATTGATAATTAATTATTTTTTGATAAATATCCGTGTATATACTGATAAAACACAACAAGTTTTAGAACTCCAAAGATCGCACTTCAAATGAGTTTGTATCAATGCGATTTACCGAATAATCAAATAATTAACACCAAATTAACAACGTATTACCTATAATTTTTAAATTCCTGCAGCAACAAATGATTTTGTGAGACTAGCAACTGGGATTTTGGCTTCGCAAAAGTTAATGACTTAACTATTGTTATGAAAATGTTTTTAATACATTTAAAAATTATTGTGGTAATATTTACTCAGCAAGGGAATTTAAAGGTTGTGCTATCTGAGCCACATTTCTTCCTTACTGACCATGTCCTTGCTCAGTGGAAAGGTTTAAAACCCCTAGTCCAAGTGGACTTCTCTTAGTGTGGACATGGATAGCTTCCTGCAAGTACAGAAGGGCACAATCGCCCTGCTTGGATTTGATCTCTTTAGTGCAGACCGAGAAATGTGGAAGCGTCCCTATAGGGCAATTAACGTATTTGGTATAGCCGCCATTTTTCCCTTCATCCTGGCAGCCGTTCTTCATAATTGGAAGCATGTAATGCTACTGGCAGATGCCATGGTAGCTCTATTAATTACCATCCTAGGACTTTTCAAGTTCAGCATGATACTGTACTTGCGTCGGGATTTCAAGCGACTTATTGATAAATTTCGTTTGCTGATGGCAAATGGTAAGATATTATATATACTACTATTGTTTTATATTTATCTACAAATAATTCCAAAGAGGCCGATCAAGGCGAGGAGTATGCAGAGATACTCAATGCAGCCAACAAGCAGGATCAACGTATGTGCACTTTATTCAGGACCTGTTTTCTTCTCGCCTGGGCCTTGAATAGTGTGCTGCCTTTTGTGAGAATGGGTCTCAGTTATTTGCTAGCAGGTCATGCTGAACCAGAACTCCCGTTTCCCTGTCTGTAGGTATTAACGAAATATCTCTAAAACAATATTATCATGTTTATTTCCATAGTTTTCCCTGGGACATCCACATCATCCGGAACTATGCTCTGAGTTTTATATGGAGTGCTTTCGCTTCGACGGGTGTGGTTTTACCAGCTGTTAGCTTGGATACCATTTTTTGCTCTTTCACCAGCAACCTGTGCGCTTTTTTCAAGATCGCCCAATACAAGGTGGTTAGATTTAAGGGCGGAAGTCATAAGGAATCTCAGGCCACTCTGAACAAGATCTTTGCGCTGTATCAGACCAGTTTGGATATGTGCAGCGATCTAAATCTCTGCTACCAACCAATCATTTGCGCCCAGTTCTTCGTCTCATCTCTGCAACTCTGCATGCTGGGATACCTATTTTCCATTACTTTTGCCCAGACCGAGGGCGTGTACTACGCCTCCTTTATAGCCACCATCATTATACAGGCCTATATCTATTGCTATTGCGGGGAGAATCTGAAGACGGAGAGTGCCAGTTTCGAGTGGGCCATCTACGACAGTCCCTGGCACGAGAGTTTGGGAGCTGGAGGAGCCTCCACCTCGATATGTCGATCCCTGCTGATCAGCATGATGCGGGCTCATCGAGGTTTTCGCATCACGGGATACTTTTTCGAGGCTAACATGGAGGCCTTTTCGTCGGTGGGTGAAAGAGTTATATTAGCAATGTGGCCTGATTTTTTAAAAGTCATTTATGAGACCCTAGATCTATGATCTAGAAAACATAGATATATTACAATAACCCATTATGAACCACTAATATCTCCTTTAGATATTAGCTTTAGAACCTGAAAAATCTGTTTTCGAATCTGATCTATAAAATCCCTTCACTAATTGCCTATCTTATCATTTTCAGATTGTACGCACTGCGATGTCTTACATAACTATGCTGAGATCCTTCTCGTAAAAGGTTAAGCCACAACGCATCGGATTGATTTTTGTGCAATTTTTGTTTTATTGCTGAGCATGCGTTGCCGTACGACATTTAACAATCGAATTTACAAATCTTACAAATGTTTATCTCACACACTGTTCGTTAGGCACTAAGTAGAATGTAGAATGTAGATTAGAGAGATTGGATTGGCGGTAGAAATGCACAGATGAAGCACGAAGGGATGGGGAGTTTTCGGGGTGCGGGATGTTAAACGGAAATGTTTTTGTGGGTGGGATGATGGATCACCAACGAGCAGCTGCTCTATATCTCTCCTGTCTGTTTCTGGTTCACATTTGGTCACTGACCCGCAACAATTTGATTGCCAACTTGAGCATAACGATGAAGAATTAGAACACGAATTTATGACGATACGGATTACTTGAAGAATCTTCCGGGGGCGGCGGCGGCGCGAACTGGAGGAGGGGTGGGTATATGGGCACCCTCGGCGCGGTATCCGTTCTCATCAGCGATATAGGTGATGGTGTAGACCACGCCATCGGGACCGGTGTACGAGTAAGATCCCTGCATTACCTGGTAAGCAGAGATATAATACATTTTAGTCTCGCCCCAAGGTATGCTATGATATTTAAGATAGAGCGCCCAAAAGATTACTAACCTGTGCCTCAATCTGGCTGCCCGGGTTCTTCAAATAGCCAGCCTCATCCGCTCGGATTCCATTGCTAGTCTCGTAGCTAAAAGGTTTTAAAATAAATGGGAATCAGCGTTAGAAAAACATACAAGAAACTTAAAAGTGGTATGAAATTTTTAAGTCTAATAAAATTGTTTCAAAATTTTAATATTTTATTTTGATAAAATTGCATAACAGCTCAAAGTGAAAAAATCATTTTTAATCTGGTAATAAGAAGTTAAATTTTCTTTAAGTTTTCTTAATTTTGTGATGTTATCCTGCCAGTTATATGGATTGTAACCTACATTTTCGCATCATTAAAATACAAGTTGTATAAAAATAATTTGGTTTAAGATGCTATGTTGTAAGACACATAATAAACGTTTCTTCTAAATGTTAAATGAAGAAAGAATTCTTCATATTCCACTTATAAGGCCTGAAAAGATGATCTCTCAATCCCCACTTACTTGTACTGGTAGGAGCCATCGGGGTTCAGGTCGAAGTTCTGCTTGAGTATCACTGCATTCGCGTCGAAGGAGTTTCCGCGTGGTGGGGGCAGTCCACGTTGTGGCTGGGCCTGAATGAAACTGAGGCAGCAGAGGGCCAAAACGACGGCTGCGAAGGAGGCGTGGGTGAGCGTCATGACCTTTAGTGGGCGAAAAAGAAGACAGGGGACCGCAAAGGGGATGGGGTCGTTAAATAGAGTCATAACTGAGATGAGGTGCGGTGTTTGGTGTTCAGTGTTCAGTTTTCAGTGTTTAGTGCCAGATTGAGTTGCCGGCGGCGTTGTCTTTGAATGTCAAACTCGTTGCTTGGCAATTAGTATCTGATATACTCCGATTGGCTTTTTGCGATTTGAAAGTTCTGCGAAATGATGATGGTTATGATGATGATGAAGGCCGTGGGAAAAATATCCATATAAGAGATTGAAGATCCTGGCAACTGTTATAGGTTTTCCAGAGGTATGTAAGGCCTTCAAGGTATTGTAAATATCCTTTATGCAGGACAGGGTTTATAGGTTTTGATGATTTTTCTTCTAAGTTTTTGCTTTATCTTGACTGATGCTATATCCTTAAGGATTTGCAAACCGCAACTAGAACTGAAACTCACTTCGAATTCGCGACTTAAAATCGGGTACTGCGCTGGGAGGCTCGTCAAAAGTGCTTTGACTTGGCTGCAGTTGCCACAAACGTTTTTATACCAAAATCGCATCCACTGCAGCTGGAGGCAGAGCAGCGGCAGAAGCAGAAGCAGAAGCAGCAGTGCCAGCATCCGCAACCAGATGCAGTGCACCAGCCCAGATTCGGTGGCTGGAAGGGCAGGGGAGCGGGTGGGCGGAGCGGGTGGGCCGCGAAACAAACAGTGTTTGTCTGCCTGACAGCAACAGAATCGGAAGAGCTGCCGTCGCACCACGTAGCGTATGCGCAACGAGTTTCAAATGCAAATGGGCGTTGCGCATACGCCGCGTATGCCTTATGCCGTATGGCTTATGCCGTTTGCAGCTCACAGCTCACAGCTTACAGTTCTCGGCGGTGTAATTTATGTGAATTAGCAATGCGAACTTCATTTGATTAGTGCCCCCGCTGGATGCTCGACTGGATGCAATAATTCGTTAAGTCAAATATTAATTAAAAGATTACAGATGTTGCAATTGGTTTCGATTTGATGAATTGGCCATTTGGCCACATGCCTGCCAATGAATTGCGATGGAATCTTTCTACCCACTGACATTTGAATGGGCCGCAGGTTGGGGCGTAGTCGACTTGTCCATTTCAATGCATCGTTAAAGAGCATTATTTGCCTTTGTTTTCACCCAGGTGAACCAGCTGAGCCTGCCCTTTTAGGCCAATTTCGCTGACCAGGTCCAGGGACCACTCCCTTCTGCACCAGTTACCCGCTCCCATTTACCGCTTCATTTTTGCCGGCCGGCTCTGGCCATTTTTCTTTCGGCTTAAACTTTAAACTTTTCCAGCGTGTAGGAAATGTCAGTTGCAATTCATAAAAATTACAGCAATAACTGCTGCCAAAATCCAGCTCCAAACTCCACCACCGCGGAGATGATCACGAACATGATGAACATCGCCCGAGATTTTTTGGCCAACTCCCCGCGCAACCCGTTTGGTACGTTTTCCCTTTCGTACGTTTTCCATGTTACTTGGCCAATTTCGCGGTTGCCCGCGTTTTGCTTTGGCCTTCGCGCTGCTTTTCAAATTGCAGCTTGGCTGAGAGGAAGAGTTATTTGGCTGGCTGGCCTGGCTTAGTGCATTTTTCACATTTGACATACAATTTACAGCCCATTGCAATTGGCTTACTCACTCCCAGTCGATGCCATTTTTTTCTTTTCAACACACTCGGGGTGGCCAAGTAGTTTCCCGTGTGATGACTGATGACTGATGGATCGCGTGCGATTCAAATCCGATATATGGATTCACTTTAAGCGCACATCAAATGTATCTTAATTTATGCCCCTTTGTCTGGCCGAGCGTGAGGAACACTATGCTAATCGAGTGCAATTTCCTAAACATTGGCAATCAATCAGTTACTGAGGCGCAGGCTTTTTTTTTGGCCACTTCAAGTGATGGATTGGCCCGAAACGTTCGAGTGCGAAACAAGTTTATGACGTGTTCTCCGATCCAATGATGATCAACCAGTCTGGGCGGGATTTTCTGCGATTGCTGGAATCGACAAAAAGTCGATCTTATTACAGTGCCCCCATCGATATCATCATCAATGGCTTAATCACTTGACCTCTCTTCGATGGCTTACGTTTTAACAAGTCGGTGACACATAAATATGCAAATCTTGTCTCTTGGCTGTGAGTGTTTTATTAAATCACATTCTGCTCGCTTCCATAGAATTTCTTTTGTGTTTTTTTTACGTTTTGTTTTGGGTATATTTTTGTATTTTTTGGGTTATGGCGTAATGGGACTCAAAAGATGCTAATTCGTGGCTGCTGCGCACATTAAACGCCGGTATATAAAGTGGATGTTGGATGTGGTAAGCCAAGTCCGTCGGTTCCCGCCAAGAAAGCACCCAAGAACTCTCTTCTCTCGTAACTTCCTAATTAACCACCAAAATGTTCAAGATTGCCATCTGTTTGTTGGCCCTGGCCAGTGGAGCTCTGGCCGCCAGTATTGGCCAGGTCGTAAGCAGCACCACCGAGAAGCGGGAGATCATTCCCGTGCTGAAATTCGAGACGGACAAGCAGCCCGATGGATCCTTCCACTTCAGCTACGAGGGCGGTGACCAGTCCATCCGTCAGGAGCAGGGTGTGATCGAGAATGCCGGCACCGAGGATGAGGCTTTGGAGGTCTCCGGAATGTACAGCTATATCGACGCCAATGGTGACACTGTGGAAGTTCACTACACCGCCGGCAAGAATGGTTTTGTACCCATTGGTACCATCATCCCCAAGGAAATTACTGCCTTGGCCAAGGCTGCTGCCGATCTGCCCAAGGTTTCCGAGGAGGACCAGCTAAGGAACCGTAGGGCCCGATCCCAGGAACTGGAAAAGAAGGAGGCTGCTGTGGAGAAGGAAGTCGCTCCAGTCGAGAAGGAGAAGGAGGAGCCTGTGGTTGCCAAGGAATCTGTGAAGGTAGAGACGTCCGAGCCTCTGCCCGCCGCATCCCAGGTGGTGCCCGTCCAGGTGGTCCTCGATGCCGCGCCAGAAACCGAGATCAAGGCCGCCGTCGAGGCTGCGATCGAGAAGAAGGTGGAGACCAAGACTGCCTAAGCTTTCCTAGACTCTAGACTACCTAAGTATTGTTTAATTTAAAACCAAGTGCGATCTAATTTAACTGGCTAGCAATAAAACGATTCCCTATCTGAAATCCGCATCATTCTTGATTGAATTTGAAATGGAGCGACAGCAGCTGCATGTGAAATGCGGATTCCGTGCTGCATATAAATACTTATCATAAATTTCGCTATGGTTAGTGCTAATTTAAGCAGTATGCTGACAACAAGAAATTATCTCACCGACCACAAATTGTTGGGAATGACGCTTATGGCTTAGAACTTTATTGGAGAATATGGAAAAAGATTAACGATGGGTATAATCAAGCGAGAGAGGCATAATGAAAATAAAGCAAATTAAGATATTTTGTTGATTAGTAATCCGGCAAGGCAAAACACATTTCGTAAACAACTTTTTATAGATCTGAATTAAACACTAAAAATAGATCGTTAAAGGCTTATATTAAAAACCATTTTTTCGTTACTGTTATTTTGATAATCACAAAAAAAAAATTATCAAGTTTTGTTTAGACTTTAATGAGATATTTAAAACGTCATGCAATGAATTTCTGACTCTTATATACACATTCTTATAAACCCATAAAGATGATCGTATTTTCTTAAAGAAAATAGAGTAAGTCATCTAAAAACACTTATAATTATTTAAGCAAAGTTCACAGACATGTTTGAATCTCGAACTTTAAATCAATTTTTATTTTATGTCAACGGAATTTTGAGCGCTAAATATTTAATATATTAAGTCATAAGAAAGCCTTGGTTTCTTAATCAGCTCTGAAGTGGTAAATTGTTAGGAAAATAGAATACTAAGTAAAAAATGCGTGAGGAAACAACTTGCAGAAAGGTCCACGATTTACCGGAGACTCGTCGATGTCATTTTGTGCTAAACACGCCAGATTGTGTGACTAATATGAACTTTATCAACTATCTGGGCTGGCATTTCTGCAAAGTGGACGTTGGAAACGGTTTTAATACCTTCTGGAGTGTGGTGGGAATGCTTCTGATGGCCATATATGTGTTCTGGATGATGCAGATGACCATTAACAAATAGTGAGTACCATTTTAATATTCTATACATATGTAAATTTAGGTATAATTTGGAATATCTAGTTTCTGTCCCATTCTGAAGGTGATAGCGGACTCACTGCGGATGAACGAGAGCACGGCTGGGGTTACGGTTCTGGCCATTGCAAATGGATCACCGGATTTATTCACGGCAATCGCTTCGAGAATGCAGAGCTCCAAATATACCTTCCTCGTATGCATGTCGCAGGCCATGTTCCTGCACATCTTCGTCGCCGGAGTGGTGATCCTGACCAAGCCCTTCAATATGGAGCCAAACTATTATATCCGTGACTTTGGTTTCCTGTTCCTCAATGTCGCATACATGGACTATATCCATAAGCGACCCAACGGCATCAACTGGGTTTTGGCTTTACCCAGTTCATTTATTTTTGTGGGCTACGTTTTGGTGGCCATCATTGATCAACATTTGCTGATGGCCCGCATTCGAAGTATGTTTCACTGCGTATGATATAAAAAATTCTTTTTAATTTGTGTAAATCTTCACCAGAGCTGGAAAAAAGAGAAATGGATGTTGCTGAGGCGTTGCAATTGGAGGAACTGAAACCGCAGACCCAGTTACCCTTGAAGCGTCAAATAATAGATCGGTCAGATGTTAAGGGTGGTCGTAATAAGCATCTTTTCCGACAATTTTGGAACACCGTAGGCGAGTTCGATACGGAACGCTTTCGACGGGGAACCGTCCTGGTGAAGGTTTATCTAATTCTCAAGCAACCCATCGATATGATATTGCGATTTCTCATCCCAGTGGTTGATATGGAGAAACCTCTTTACGGATGGTCGAAGCTGCTCTTCAACCTGCAAGTGATTCTTGTCCCCACCTATATAGCCTACATAATTAGTGAGATTATCTTGAAATGCGTGGGTGACCAACCTAAAGATCTTATTTTCCAGTTCGGGGATACACCGTTGCGGGCATTGCCTCCTATATTCTCATCCTCATTATTATGATACCCATTGCTATCTTGATATTTTTTCTCACGCGCACCGACACCCCACCCAAATTTTTCAGAGTAAGTTATTCTAAGGTGGATTTTAGGCACGTAGATATATATATGGTGTTTTTTGTTACAAAAGCAAATATTTATAATGTTAGAGTTTCTTAAACCGGAAACAAAATGCTGTCGATATCTCTAATGTTGTTAGTTTGTTTCGCTCTAGGTTTGATTAATCTTCCAATTTATAGCCTTTATAAAGGTATAGGTATACTTCTTTCAATCTAATTTTTTAACTTAGCTCTAAAAGTTTCCGGACTAAACCTTCCAAAAAATCTGTTTTAACTTTTCCTAACATTAACATTAGTATTACAATTGGTTTGGACAGTCCTAGAAACCTACAATCTAAAAATACTAAAAAAAACCCCAAAAAAGATTAAAATAATGCATTAGTGACTCCTGCCAATACCAATTTTATTGCAAAAATGAAATTCAATCAAGTTTTCCCTGATTTTCATTACAGTTTACATCTAGTATGGGATTCTTGGCCACTATCTTTCTGATCTTCTGCCTGACCTCCGAGGTAAATGCCATGTTTTTTACGGTGGCAACCATAATGCAAGTGAGCCAGGATTTTTTACTGGCAACGGCTGTATGCTGGGCCATAAGTAGCAACGATTTGGTGACCAATCTCTCGCTGGCCCTTCAGGGATGGCCTCGTATGGCATTGACGGCCACCTTCTCAGCACCAGTTTTTGGTATTTAAAGATATTTAATATTTTGGAAAGGATCCAGCTTTATTCTTCTTTGTAGGATCCTTTGTGTTTCTGGCCCTGCCATTGGTTGTGCAGTCATTCATGAATGCGCCCAGTAATATTAACGTAAGTAGGGAAGAAAATGGTACAATAAAAAATATTTCTATGAGATCTGTTAACAGCCTACGGAAGGGGGCTTTGGGGAGACGGTGTGCATCTTCTTAGAGGTTGGAATGGGCTTCTCAATGCTCTCCGCCCTCACCACAAACTTTAAGCTGCGTCGAGCTTGTGGTTTTCTACTGGTTTCGTACTATTTCTTCTTTTTGGGTGTTCTTATACTTCTGGAGAAGGGCGTGATCCACGCCTATGGAGTCTGACCTGAGAGGAATCTGTAATGAAACTTTATAAACCCATTAAATATGCAAATTCCCGAGATGATTTATGCCTCATTAAATGACCAATTTCATTCGCTTTCCTGTTCGTTAAGTCTTCATTTCAGTTGTCTTTGATCAAAGCTAATGGACGATGTTTAAGCGTGTAATGATGTATAGAAGCAGGTGTCTCATTCGTAGCCCCAGGGCCCACTGTACCGCAAAGTGGCCAAACGTGTGCTTAATCATATGACGTCGCACACTTTGACACGGTGCCAGGTTTGGGCTGTTTTCAAGGTCTTTCAAGGAGAACATATTTACTGAAATATATTTTAGATATATAACCATAATTTTTCAAACTTTTGTACTAAAAATATTTATTTAAATTTTTTTTGTATTCAGATTTGTATAGTAAGCCAACGATATTTAACTCCCATTTTTCCCTGTGTATTTTCGCTGGATAAGTAAACAAAAAAAGTGCGAGACATGCAAATTAGATAGATTGAAACATCATTTCTTCACAGTTCGTATTATCTTTTATTTCTGTTTGCCTAGCAACAACGCTTTAACTTTTTTCCATTAATCTTATGAACTACCATCTTGAGAGATCTCTTCCAGAAAACACATTCCTAAGCCTTTTCCACCTTCACCTCTTTAGGCAGGTTCTTGGCCGCCTCTGCAACAGCTGTGATTTCAGGATTGATACTGGTGCCATATGGGACAAATCCATTCTTTCCCGCCGTGTAGAAAACCTCCACCTCCTCGCCAAGGTCGTTAATGTACTTGTAGGATCCCTTCACCTCGAGAGCTTCCTCGTCGGTGCCTTCGTCCACCAAATCAGCCTGTTCCTTGCGAGAGGTTCCATCTGCACCTGAGTATTGGGTGTCGTAGCCACCATTAGCTTTCTTGTTGATCTCGGAACTCAGGATTGCAATTGGCTCGCGCTCGGATTCCACAGGAAGACCATGACAACAGGCGGCCACCACAGCCAGGACGAAAAGAGGGAGCTATGGAAAATCAGGAATTTAGCATGTTTATTATATTTTTTAAAAGCAAGGGACTACCCCTATCACTCGTTACACTTTATTGTAAAAAAAAACTTTTATCACATTAGCAAAATACTAAATTCTTAGAAAGATGGTCCTATATTAATAAAGCTTATGAATTTATTTTTCCACTTCCCACTTTTACTAATCAAGTTGATAAATCAATGACTTAAATGAAATATCAAATTATCAGAGAGCTGGTCTTATACAATCCTTTTTCATTTGATTCTTCACTTCCCACTTTTACTTATCAAATTATCAACTTAAATGAAATATTAATGTATCAGAGAGCTGGTCTTATGCAATCCTTATCCATTTTTTTCTTCACTTCCCACTTTTAGTTAATAAATGATCAAGGACATTTGTATCTTTTACTTTTCTTTTTATCCATGTCTTTTTTGATGTCCCCTATCCTTTATTGCCTTCACTTACGATTTTGCACATTTTTGCGATTTTTGGAGCGTAGAAAGCGAGAGTTAAAGCGCGTGTGAACTCAAAGTGGATCGGTCAGTTGGCTTTTATAGCCACACACTCCTGCATCAGTATTTCGACCACATCCAGCTCTTTCGGCTCTTTCGCTTAAACATGCTAAACATGTTTGCATCCCGTTTTATGTGGACGCTACGTCCGCAAACTCCGAAATGCGGCTGGCTTTAAATGTCAAGGCCTCCGATGGGTCAGTTATCAGAGCAGGGCCTTGAATATGTGTCACTATATTGGACCGATCTGAGTCAGATCATGGCGATGACGCCGGCGATTGATGACACCGATCGGCGGCTACATTAACGGCCTCTGCAACTGCATAACTTGCACGGCTTCACCCACTCGCCAGGTGTCGCGATTAATCAGTCGCACCTCACACTTTGCACCGCCATATTCACACCAATCCCAGAAATGTGTAAAATGTCAGCTTTGATGCAATTTATATTATGATCTGCACTGGGGTGTAGCCCCTAGCCCAGGGCATTCGTACATATATCTATCTATCTATCTTTATCTATAACTATCGATCGAACATCTTCGGCTGACAAATGGCTCGAATCAGAATCTCAATGGGGTGCATCAGCAAATTCATTTACATGGCGGCGCTATTAATTCAATCATCGGTAGTTCCGGGGCTAGATAGTAACGATCGTGTTTTTTTCGCTACTCATTTCATGGGGTGATAAATACAAATTCATTTCGCTGCATCGGACGACATTTGGCTGGGATTTGGCAAAAGGGCAATCTGCGCTGCTGCCACAATTTATAACTTTGACAGCTTAACTAATTTCGAATCTGCAGCAAATTAAATATCCCAGCGATGAGCAAGCGATTTCAGATACAGCTGCTGGGCCAGACACAGAAAACAATAATTTGCATCCATAAGAAACTAGAGCACTTTATTAATTTGGTATTATATGTATTTTGTAAATTCAAATTTGTAAATAACATACTTATTTATATTTATTAAAAGTGTAACAAGTTCGTTAAAGTTGCAATTTTTTAAAATAATTGGCTTAAACTAGTTTTAAAGAATTTTTGTATGAATTTATAATATAAAGATGAAGACGTCTAGATAAAACCTGAACTTTATTCCAAGCATAAAGGCATGGAATCTCTGGTAATAATTCCACTTTGAAGATTTTTGATCAGTATATCGATTAAAAAGGTAAAATAATAGTTATATAACTTCTTTACTGTGTGCCGCTCCTTGTAGCCCAAAGCTGGCTATTCGCGCCTGGATCGGCTTTTTGCATTGGTAATTGTCTGGCTAACATTTTCAAGAATGTGTGCCCATCAAAGATAATGGCTCTATGGCGATTTGTTTATAGCCTTCCCCTCGAAAACGTACCTCACATGTGGCAAGAAGCCATTCTGGTTCGCCTTATATCTGACCTGCAGCTCCTGACCCCTGTCATCGATATAGCCATAAACACCGGAAACCTTCAGACTGCCATCGGCAGGAATCGTATCGGAATCCACAAGGCCCAGTTCCTCGCGATAGCTTCCATCGGCGCTCTCGTACATAAATATGTAGGTGCCCGAGCTGAGTTGTTTGGCCACTGATTTGAGGATTGGCACTGGTTCATTAATGGCAGCACTCTCAGCGGGCCAACTCCACAGTTGGCAGCAAGCCAATATCAATAGCTGGAAGTCCCAAAAAAAAATGGAAGAACATAAAGTGGAGTCACTCGGCTATTCATGAGCTAAGCGCTACTTACCAATGCGAACATGATTTATGCTAATACTAAGCGTTTGGGAAAGATTCTGCGCATTTTATAGCAATCCGTTAGAAGACCAGCTGAACACATTTCTCCACCTTAGATCAGCAGACAACGACATTATGCAATGCCAGATGCTATTCTCATTTTTTTGAGGTCAGTAGAAAGTAGCAGGTCGAGTTTTGGAGTTTATTGAACCACAGATTTGCATTTCAAATGGCCATTTAGAAGTGTGGAGCAGGTAACATGTCATGTTTACAATGCAGATAGCATCATGAACACATGTGAGTCGCGTGGGTTCTGCTACCAAGGTGCAGCAGCTAATAAAATTTGTCACAATTTGGCACTGCGGCACACAATTGTGACAAGCGAAAGGTGCAGAAATGGTAACGGCCGACTGCTCCACCTGACTTCTATGTAAATTCCAAGAGATCTGTGGCTCTAGAAACTCTGTTACAGTGGGTGGGCACCTCTGGGCCTGGGCCTTTGAGAAGCGGCTAACATTTATGGCAAATAGCAAACTGAAAACGGTAAGACAAAAAGAATTCAATAATAATTTCCAGCAATTTCGCAACTCAGCAACAGAGGCAGCAACACTGCGGCAGAAGTTGCATTTTGGCATTTGCCTTGGCCCGCCCAGTTCCAATTTCCAGTTCCACTTGCCAAATGGCCAGGCTCTCGGGCAACGTGTTAATAAATTGATTCTTTGTGGCTCCCCAGTCGGTGAGTTGGTTTAAATCCCGCGGAATCAGGTAATACTACAAGTATGCACTTCGAGGAATATGCGGAAAGTTGCATAGATTTAAATGAATTTTTAATTATAGTCCATAAAACCGTAGCCAGAGCAAGAAAATAAAATATAGTACATTCTTTACAAAAGACTAAAGGTTGGTGAAATAAAATTCATTTAAATGGAAGACTTTTCTGAGTCTTCCGTAATACAAAATGCAACACCATTTCTAGTTAAAACACACTGATAACAAAATGGAGTGGTAAAAATAAATATCTGCCTATTTGGATTTACTACAAAAACACAGAAAATATGATTTGTTATGAAAATATTTAAATCAATATTGGAAAACATTAGATACTATCAAATATAACATAAACATTTCCTTGAAAAGTAAGTAACTTATTGTTATTTTTAAAATGTGCTTAAATATTTTACATATTTTTAAAATATGGTTGATGAGCCTTAATTATAATAACATTGGATATTTAGTATTCCTTTCATTCTTCTTTCTTCTTTTCAATAAATTGGCTAATTATCTGCCATATTTCAATTCTTCTTCACAAATTGCGTACAAATGAGACACAATCTTAAATGAACTGATGTCTTGATTAACTAATGATCCTGCCACGTTTTTTCGAGTGTGGCTTTCGCAGAGCGACATTTGACGCGCCTGCCACAGAAGTGGAAACTCATTAATGTAGCAGCCGCAATGCCGACGAGGTCATAATTCAGAGCTGCGACACGTTAACCTTTAGTTAAGATTCACCAGCTGGAGCCCGAAGAGAGAACCCCCGATCCAAAGATGCAGTTGCAGTCACACTACGCACTGCCACAAAGTGAATCAATTAGCCGCGCTGGCGGCCATAATTTCTAACTAATGGAATTCACAATTACAAAATGTCAGGCCCAGTCTGCGAGAAAAACATCTAAACCATCGCGAGATTGCAGTGCAACTTTCGGGCTACAGTCTATTAATAACCGTCGCCGTGGCTGTCCGACTTTTAGGTGGATCTGAGGCTAGAGCCCGAAGCCTACAGCTCATGGAATCGTGGGAGGAGTGTCCGACCCGTCTTTAATGCGGTTTGCTCATCGGGCCAACAACATTGTATTGTGACTTGTTGTGTCTCGCATTTCTGCATAAATTTGGCAAGCCACTTTTATGTCGCTCCCCGCATCGCCACCTCGCTTGATTTCCCGCATTTCGGCGCTTTGTTTTATTGCTGTTTAATCCTCCGGTTTCGGAAATTATTCAAATGGCAAATCAATCAGGCGACGGTTGGCCAATGTGGACCAAAACATATTTATAACTAATATTTGGCACTCACATTTGGGCATCTTATTGGGTCAAACTATTTTGGGAAAGGTAAACAAATGATTTCTCATGGGATTTTGGATTATACCATATGCGACATTGTACAGCGCCATATGAAAAGTACAATGTTAAAAATGGGTTACAGACATAAGAATACAATGTGAATATAATGCACAGATCATTTTACATACATTATGTAAAGTGGATACAAATCCTGGTTAGTACTGCTTTGGATTTATAATATTTTTGCACTAAAACTTTAACCAAATTCAATCCTTAGCTGAGGACAAGAAGTTAAGGATGCAAATGAAATGCTGTGCTGTTTCTTTAATCTTATTTTTCTAAAAAAAATATCACAAACAGGAAATATATTTCAAAATTGTTATAATTATATATTCATTCATATTTATATTCGTTAATGCAAGCACCGGGAATTATATACCTTATCGGCTGATTCCGAGTATGGGACATAATAATTGTAGACTCTTAAAGTTTAATCAATTTTACAGGTTGAAATATGTATAAAACAAACTATATTACCTATGCAATATATTATTATCTATATAACAATTCTAAATTACCATTGAATTATTTTTTTTAAGTTTTAAATTGGTTATGTGAAGCGCATTCAAAAGTTATAAAAGCCGAATGTGGAAGTTGTTTGGTTTTCTACAGTTTATGTAGCACACTTTTCGGCTGAGTTGCATTTGTATTAAATGGAAATCATTTGTAGGCTTTTAGGCAGATTCAGAATGCAACTTGGCAGATAAGAAATAATAATATTCAAATATTAGTTTAACATCTTTTCGCAACATAAAGGGGATTGGTTTGATTCTTTTGACAGCAAAAAAAAAATTATTCTGTCTTTTAATTTTGCGTAACTTTACCATGAACAAGTATCAAAATGTTGACCTATATGATCATTGCAAAAATTGACCTTGCTTCGAAATGGAAAACCTCCTCAGAATTAGCATATGCAATTAAAGTTCGAGCTGAACATGGAACAAGACATGTTCGAATTTTAATGGCAGCTCATACAGATGACAAACGAAAATGTATCTGCCAGATACTTGGCAGTTATAAATGAGTGATGGCGATCACATCACACCTAGACATGAGCAATCCCAGAAGCAGTACCAGAGATTGATGAATAACCCCAGTGGAGCGTGGAACAATGGAACACCTCAGGCCCCGAAAAACTCTCAAGCTATCCTGGAGATAAGCAGTATCTAACTCTCTGGCATTCCATTTGACAAATGATGTTTGTAGGCCAGGTTGAGGTCCGACTTCCACCTTGACCAAGGGAAAATGAGGGGCAATGGATGTACATACACTGCCCGCTGTCAGCACATAACTCAGACAAACGCCTTCGAGGCAGATGGGAAGACAAGTGCTAGAGCAAAAAGGCCCAGAATTTGCATATGGGGCTGCGGCTGGCTCATAAACAAGTGCGCGGAAGGTGGCCCCACCATGAAGATATCAATCGGCCCAAGTCAAAACCATAGGCAAAGCCAAAGCCAAACGAAATTCGTTTGTCCTTCTGTCAATGGCCGATAAAAAACCAATAAAGCTGCCACCCCAGCGGCTTGTTAACACGCAGATAAATTACACTGGCCGCCCCGGGAGATTACCATCGAGATGCAGTCAGAAGCTGATAGCCAGAGCACAGGAAGCCACCGATTGTTCTGACCATAACGCTGAGCTTTAGGGCCTGTTCCGCCGATCGGCGATCGAGAACCGCATAAATACGGCTGGCAGTGGGAGCCGCATTTGCAGTCGTGGCACGACTTTCGATCAGTGACTTCCAGTGGCAGCAACGGATTTTCTCGGTACGCGATCGGATCTTTTTTAAAACTGTTCCCAGCTCTATAAGTGGAGACGTCGGGTTTATCGAGCGTGTAATTTGTGCTCCGTTCGCGAGATTTATGATCCACGGTACCCGCCCACTGACAGCCTAAATGTCGGAACCCCGAACCCCTCGATTCCGGCACCTCCGCTGGGTGGCCTGCGTTCTGGCCAGTCTGTGGATATCCGTGAGCCATGCTCAGTTGCCAGGAGCAGGCTTCCAAGGACAACGGGGGCAGGTGCCTCCTCTGCAACCACTGCAACAGCCAGCCAATCCCTTCCAGCGCCGCCAGCCCAATCCCGTCCAGGGTCAAGGACTATTTCCGGGTCAGCGAAATACCTTGAATCCCCTGGCTCCTCCGCTAACTGGAGCTGCCCTCCAGAATCCCTACACGCGCTATAACCAGTACCAGCAGCAGAACTACGTGCCCATCACAGCCTATAACAACGAACTCAATCTGGATGGTAGCTTCTCCTACGGATACTCATCAGCCGATGGAACCACTGCCCAGGCACAGGGTTATGTTAAAAACCTAGGATATGGGGAAGGCGTCGAGGCACAGGTGGGTCTTGTCATGAAAAATCATCACAAAGTCTTTGCTACTTTTAATGCAATTATTAAATACATTAGTGGGTTCACTTCTTAATGTTTTTTATCTTGATCCTATGATTCACATTACTCTAAAGTAAAATTATATTATAAATATTGAGGCAACCCTTAAAACATTTAAGCTTGAAACTAAAACCAAATTCATATTTATGGTACTAAATATTAAGACTTTTGATTTTATTTAGCTAGACTGGGTTCTTCCTTTTATAAAAATTACTAAATTCTTAGCATCGCTCTTAAGTTATGGTCTACATTGAATAGAAAGCTATCTTAATTCTACAAAATGTACTACTAACTCATTTCTGAATTTTAAGAATATCCTATTAATATAATAGTATGTTGGTCTTAGTGTTGGTCCTATGATATATATTGTCCTAAACCTCAAAACTTATTTTAAAACTAAATCTTATTTAATATTATTGCTTATACAGATTTTTCATTTGACTTTGAAATTACTTTGCTAGAAAAGATATTTTATCTCAGTTAGTAAATTCTGATAAATCGCGTTGGTTAGTATCTCAGTCCATAAGATCCTAATCAAATAAATGGTTGTAACATTACATAGCGATCTTTTCGCCGTAACACTATCTAATTTTGAAGAGCTCTTAACATACTTTTGGGTGCTATTTTTTTTCTAAAACGTTGAGTAATTTATCTCTTTAATTAACAGGTGATTCAAGGCTCCTACTCGTACACATCACCGGAGGGCACTCCCATAACAGTGCGTTATATTGCCGACGAGAACGGATTCCGGGCGGAGGGCACAGGAATTCCAGCCTCCCCGCAATATTTCTCGGGGGCCCAACCCTATCAACAGGGTCTGCTAAATCCAAATTTGAATCCCTATCAGACGCCCTTCCGCCAGCTGCCGCCACCACTGCCCAATGCCCCCTTCCGACCTCAGCTTCCGGGGCAACAACCTTTGACCCCGCTGCAGCAGCAACAACAGCAGCAGCAGCAACAGTTGCAACAGCAACGCAACTTCCAACAGCAACAGCAACCAAACTCCGGGCAATATCAGCCAGAACAGCCGTTTAATCAGCTGCATTCTGGTAATTTACCCGGCCAGTATGCTGGACAATTTGGCCAGCAATCCTTTGGCAGCAATCTCACGGCCCAACAGGCACAACAGCAACAGAATCTCAATCAGCAACAGAATCTCAACCAGCAACAACAGCAGCAGCAGCAACAGCAGAAGGAGCAACAAAATGAGCAGCAGCAACAGGCCTTGATCACCCAGCAACTGAGGGGCAGACCCAACAATCTAGTGGATCCCTATGGCTATAACCAGTATGGCAGACGCTTCAAGAAGTCCCCAAAGAAATAATATAACAATATATTATAATTGAAACGATTAGTTAGTCCAAACATGTAGTCGCAACTCAAAGCATGAAATACATGCATCTGAAAAGTCAAACCGCTTGTTTTAATGGGAAATTTCCGGTTACCATTACTAAATCTTAGATTCAAGTATTAGAGCAGATCCAAAAATCTGGTGGATCCCTATGGCTACAATCAGTATGGCAGACGCTTCAAGAAGTCCCCAAAGAAATAATATACCATATTATTATCATTCAAACGATTAGTTAGTCCAAACATATAGTCGCAACTCAAAGCATGAAATACATGCATCTGAAAAGTCAAACTGCTTGTTTTAATGGGAAATTCCAGGTTATCATCATAAAGTCGTAGTTTTAAGTATTCAAGATTCAGCCACAACAGGCCTTTATCACCCAACAACTGAGGTGCATACCCAATAATATGGTGGATCCCTATGGCTATAATCAGTATGACAGACGCTTCAAGAAGTCCTCAAACAAATAATATAACAATATATTATAATTGAAACGATTAGTTATTTTAAACATGTTTCGCAACTCAAAGGCATGAAATACATGCATCTGAAAAGTCAAACTGTTTGTTTTATTGGCATTCCCCATGGTTATCCTTATAAAATCGTGGTTTAATGTATTCAAGATTCATTTATTTCGATAGTGGCACACACACATTGTCACAAAAGAAAAGGGGGGAAAGGGAAGCTTACATAAATAAATTAACCATTTGAGTGAAAGAACATTTAGGGCAGCCAGCATTGTAATGACATTTCTTCGAGTTGAGAGATTTGATAGGCGTTTTGGGACTTCTTCTTGTTTTAATAGCTATAGCCTGTCTGAGGATTGAACTCTCCATTTCCACGACCGCCACCAGGCGCTCCCGGGGGAGGTGGAATGTATTGCGATCCTGCGCCTGGAGGTCCTGATCCTGGTCTTCCGGGCGATCCAGGTGCTCCGCCACCGGCTGGGGGCGGAACGTACTGGTTGCCACCGGGCAATCCTGGAGCTCCTGGTCGTCCACCGCCGCCTCCTGCAATTAAAAAAAAAGATCGTGATTAGATAGAACCTTTATAATACAGTTTCTTCTATGTCAAATTGTTAAAAAGACCTTGTATCTGCACCAGATTCGCTTTAAAGTCAGAATATATAATTAATGAAAGAACGTTAGTAGATCGTGGGTAAAACTGTAAACAAAGTCTGCGCAAAAATATTGTTAAACTAACTTGATATGCTTGGGAAAAACAATTTTCTAATTACATTTAGGTATACACATTTCAACTGCATTTATTCACTTAGTTTCCCATGAAAATCGGTTTTTTCAAGTCGCTTTTTATTCCAAATTTATATATGTATATATATTACCTGGTCCACCAGCACCACCGCCATAACCAGGTCCGCCTGGAGAACCTACAGAAAGAAAGTCATTAAAAATTGGAAATAACAGATATTTAAAATCTATAACTAGTTGGTCTTGTCAAAATCAAATGAAAATCCATAAAAACCAATCTTATACTTACCAGGACCTCCTGGTGCTCCTCCAGCTCCACCGCGACCGCCGGCGCCTCCAAATCCGCCTCCACCTGGAGAGCCTTTAAGAAAGGAACGGGTTATTTTTTAAAAATTTTGAAAAGAGAATTAGTTACTCACCAGGGCCTCCTGGGGCTCCACCAGCACCACCGCGTCCAGCGCCTCCACCGAATCCTCCACCACCTCCTAAAAAATATATATATATTTAAATCTGAAGGGTACCAAATTGTGATATTACTCACCTTGACCTCCGAATCCTCCGCCACCTGGGGAGCCTGTTAATTAGAAAAGGTATGCTAAGTAAAACAAAACCAAATAACATATTATTTACTCACCGGGGGCTCCTGGAGCACCACCACGTCCGGCGCCTCCACCGTATCCGCCACCACCTCCTTGTCCTCCGAAACCTCCTCCTCCTGGAGATCCTGGAGCTCCTGGGGCACCTGGTGCTCCACCACCGCCGCGGCCTCCGCCGCCACCGCTTCCATATCCGCCGCCAGCTCCTCCTTGACCACCAAAACCTCCTCCGCCAGGTGATCCTAAACAAATAAGAAAGAAATAAGTAAATTGTCGTAATAAGGGAAGGAAGTAGGCATTTTAAAATTTTAAAATAATTAAAAACAACTTTGCAAAACATTTGCAAAGAAAAAGATTCTTTTTCTTAAAGTTCTTCCAAAGATGTTTCTTTTATTCAGAATCATAAAGTGATTTTAATTTTGAATTTGTATATATAGATATATTTTGTAATTATTATTTTTGTTTTTATACCTAATGCCAAAAACATCAATTAAATAATTGAATCAACTCACCGGGAGCTCCTGGAGCACCACCACCTCCGCGACCGCCGCCGCCTCCGTATCCACCGCCAGCTCCTCCGGCTCCACCAAATCCTCCTCCACCTGGAGCACCTAAAGATAAACAACAATTTAGAAAATATATGGTATGTGTCCTTGATATCTTTCAACTTACCTGGAGCACCTGGAGCACCACCGCGACCGGCACCTCCTCCGAATCCGCCACCACCGCCTACAAAATATATTTTACTTATTTCAAGCCGAAGAAAGGAAAATTTCAATATCACTAACCTTGACCTCCGAAACCTCCGCCTCCTGGGGATCCTGAAATCAACAGAATTGGTTACATTTGACTGTTTAAAAATTATAACGACAAGAAATAATTTTAAAATTATTAAAACCATAACTAGCTTTAATTTATATATAATAACGATTGTACTTTTAATTCGCCGTTTACTTATGATGTTCTGGAATAATTAAAAATTAAAATGTATTTATGAGTACTTACCGGGAGCACCTGGAGCACCACCGCCTCCGTAACCGCCGCCAGCTCCTCCGGCTCCACCAAATCCTCCTCCGCCTGAAAATTACAAATATATAATTCATGATATTGTCAAACAAATGAGGTGTTCAACTCACCGGGAGCTCCTGGTGCTCCACCGCCACCTCGGCCGCCTCCGGCTCCGGCTCCGCCTCCACCTCCATAGCCGCCGCCAGTTCCTCCGGCTCCACCAAATCCGCCTCCACCTGGAGCTCCTGAAAATAACAACCATTAAAGCAAGCCCTTAACATATTTTAAGGAAATTCATATACTTACCGGGACCGCCTGGAGATCCGCCTCGACCTGCTCCACCACCTGCTCCTCCATAGCCGCCACCACCTCCTAAAAAATAAGTGTGATTTTAGTCGGAAGTATCAATTTTGTAGGTAAGTAAAATCACTTACCTTGGCCGCCAAAACCGCCTCCACCTGGCGCACCTGCAAAAAAATAAATTGTTATTTTCGTCAAATCTTGTCTAATGCTATCTCTAAATTATAATTATATTGTACAATTTTTGACTGATGATATCGCATTAAAGTTACAAGCAAACTCGAAGATGGTGAGACCGTGTATTGCATATGAATAAAAAAATAAAAAATTTATTAGCTCACCTGGACCACCTGGTGCTCCACCACGACCGCCGCCGCCTCCTAAAAATCAGTATTTGTAAAATCTGTAGTACTTAATATTGATAGAGGTACAAAAAACCTTTTGCGAATGGGGTTTAATACGAACGAATTTGTTTGGAAGGAATTTCTGTATAACTTTGGATTTAAAAATATTTGCAATGACTTTTACCTGATCCATATCCGCCGCCGGCACCTGCTCCACCGCCTGCTCCTCCGCCACCAGCACCGCCGCCTCCAAATCCTGATCCGCCACCGTATCCTGAACCACCGCCTCCGCCGCCACCAGCACCTGCAAACCAAAAATATACAACAGCATTAGATCGAGTTCATACTTCTTATAAGGGATATAATATCACAATAAATGATTTTTTCATAAATTTGACTTGATTGCTCAAACATCTATTTATTTTACTAAGAAAGATCAATAAAAATTCTTTGGTATAAATATAACGCTTAACAAATACTCATTATTTTATAAGTGATACTTTTTTCGTTCGTTGCTATTATTGTTTGAGTCATTGAGTAAAACCCAAAAAATAATCTTAAAATGTTAATTTATTTTCCATCACATAGGTAATTACTATTACTCACCCTGTCCACCAGATCCTCCACTAAATCCGCCACCCGGCAGAACGGAGATGCCCTGGGCAGCCAGAGACTTCGCAATCGCTTCCGGGATGGGTGGTGGAGTGGGCAGCGCGTTGCCCGTGGGTACAAAGCCATTCTCGTCCGCCGTGTACATGATCTCAACAAGTTCGCCCTCGGGATTCGTGTAGGAGTAGGATCCCATCACGGAGGGGATCTCATTCTGGGATCCCTTGTTCTTCACGGTACCCTCCTCCTGGGCCTTGATACCATTTCCAGTCTCGTAGCTGAAGCGGTAGTTGCCATCGCCATCGTTCTCATTGACAAATGAGAGGATGGGGATTGGAGGCCCAGAGGCCGGAGGAGCACCACCACCACCTCCACCACCTGGTGAACTGGGACGTGGAGCGGGTGGGCCACCTCCGCCAGGAGCGATGGGTCTTCCGTTCGCGAAACCGCCCAGGCCGTTGTTGCCACCCCCGAAGCCACCACCTGCTCCTCCACCTCCTCCAAAGCCGCCACCACCTGGTCCTCCGCCTCCGCCTCCGCCATAGCCACCACCCGGTCCACCGCCACCTCCGCCGAAGCCACCTCCTGGTCCCTGAAGCCCTGCTCCCGGACTGCCGCCTGCACTGGCCGCACTTGCCGGTGGAGGCAGGTATTTGTTATCCAGCTTGGCTGTTTGGGCCACCGCCAACGTCGTGATCACCAGAGCCTGAAAAAGATGCAAAAATCAGGTGGGATTGGCTTAGTGGCATCTCAAATTTATGCAAGGTAAGTGGAAAGTTCATGCGAATGCAGCCTTTGCCATCGAGTTGCACGCTTTGAATTTGGCCTGGAGCAACACATTTCGATAGGTTGACTTATGTGATTGCAAAATAAATATTGGCTAATTGTTTACAAATTTGGCAATTACATCTGCATGTAATCATTAAGTAGCTTACCATAAATCTTAAGAGATTATTAAATGTGTTAGCACTTTATAATGCTGAAATAAACAGGTCTATTTAACTACCTTTTTAATAGCCTCTATTACAAATTCTATTAAATTAAAATTAGCAAACACGGTTTAAAGACCTAAGTATTATTAAAGGCTTATTTGATAAAATCCAAATATTTATTCATTGTTTACCTCATGATTGATATAGAAGAGGTTTTAAGTATATTTCTGTCTGGATATCTAAGACGAGCTTAAGATCTTTTCCTGCTATAGCTCCATATAAAAAACCTTCTGTTAGTTCGTACTTTTTACTATAAGATGTCATTAGATAATAATAATTTTAATAATATACAACTGACTGGATAAAGCTTTTTATTACACCCATTTTAAGTTCAAGTATCGGGCTACCTAACAAAAATAGGATTTGATAGATCAATGCATTTAAGGTTTTTTAGCGTATATAGCTTCCAACTTTGTGATAAAAAGGAGGATTGATTTTAACACCTCATAGATGTATCCCTTTTAATGTATTTAATAGATGGTATGGTATTAAAAAAAATGTTCTAAAATAAAAAGTCATTTTAAAATTTGAAAGTTAGGCCTCTTTTACTAAATTTAACCCTGAGTTGGGCAAACACATATCTTTCCCCACACCTAATCTTGTCCAGCATTGCAACCTGACCCCGCTCGGGACCTCAATCGGGGTCAAGAGTGTGGCCAAATGTCGGCCATTTCATCAATGGAACATTCGCCCATTGACAGAGCGTCGCCACCCGATCCCAACCGATCCGATCCGCTCACGTTTTCCATTGTTGCATCCGATCGTCGCCCATTAAGGCTGCAAATGCGGCGGGGACTATTACCCACAATCGAGCGGATCATCAGCGGAGTTGTCGCAGCCTGAAGCGAACTCTGGTATTTATGGACTTCTTGTTAGACAGAAGACGTCTGAAGATGCAGCAGCGTGTGAACAGCAGCGACGACGATCCACTGAGAATTGCTGGCTGGCTGGGAAGGTTAAGTAAGCGGCGCAGCTCCTCCGCCGACCAGCGAGTGTCAAGTTGAAGTTTAAACCGTTTACGGATTCCATTGGGCCACATAAACATAACAGCTCCATCGATTGGCATGAGCTCACTTGTCGCGCTGCAGCTGAATAATGAAATAATGTGGCAATGTGGAAATTCTGACATTTGCCACACTGACTCATCATCTGGCGGCATCATCTGTGTGGCACATGCAACCAACAGCAACGCCTGCCCCTTGGGCTGGAATCTCTATATTGGGGCCCAGAAGTCTGTGAGAGTCTTTTGCAGTTCGTGACCACCTAGCAGCTAGACATCTTCGACAGCGTTTCGCAACAGCAAATATAATTGCAGTAATTGCAAATGGGCTGCCAATTGGGTCGCCACTGCTTCCATTTCGATGATCTGCTTTGGGGGCGGGCTGGGTCGGCCACGACCGATCCATCTTGGGCAACTTTGCGTGCCATCCGCCATCTCAGATTGCAAATGGGTTGTTAATTTATGCGTTTGCCGGGAATCACTTGGTCTTACCAAGACAATCGGATATGGTAAGTGCGATGGGGAAATCCTTTGCTAATTTAGCAGCCGGAGATGGGGCATTCCTGAGGTCCATTGTTTAGGCTTGTTCTTTTTGTGGAATTTCGAGAGATTCCAAGTGGAGATTGGGAACTACGCTGAACAAATACTGTTAATTATCCTTAAAACTTTATCCTTTTTGATTAAAATAAGTGAAAATACTTTTAAAACCTCTTTGCCAGTTTAATCCTGACATACTTTTTAAGAGGTTGAACCATTTAGAGAGGAATTGAAAATCCTTTGTTTATTGCATTTGTTTTTGTACTTGTTTCTTCTCTTTAAAAATATTTTAAGTGAAGTAAAAATATATTTTTCTAATTTAACTTTAAGGTGCGTATTCTTAATGTAGGTTTAAAACGGAAAATGGCCCAAAGTTGTACGACTATTAAGTTTCATTGAATCTTATATTATGTTATTATATGCTTTACTAAATCCTTTAATTTCAAGATGCGAACAATTGAGGTATGACTAAATTTGTTGAAATAATCGTAGACTTCGTTTTTCAATATCCTCAAAACTAGCTTATCACCAATTATTTACACATATTTGAAAATGTTTTTTGAAATTAAATGACGAAACCAATTTAATAATAATTAATATGTTCAGCTCTAATTAAAAAAAAGGACTTAAAACATTTATTCGTTAATTTTAGAATATAAAATAGTCTAAAGGACTATGGTGCTATTCAAGCACTGGTTTAACAAATTTTTTTAGTTTTTTGAAATCTGTTTTTCCATGAAAAATTCAAGATAGTTTTTATCCTTCACTGAACTTACCCATTTAAGAGCCATTGCTTGAAACTTTTAATTGTATAATCCCAGTCCTTGATGCACCCACAAATCCTTGGCCACAAAGCCCTCTCCAAAGAAAATTATCCACAAAACTAGGTTAATCCACGCGAGTCCTTTGCTGCACTGAGTCCACTGAGTCCACTGTTGCCACTGCTGCCACCGCGTGTTGTGGCTCCTCGAATGTCACGGTACTTGTGTGCCGATCGCAGCCCAGGTTCTCCAGCTTTTATACTTGGTTTGGCGCCAAATGCAATCAAATGGAATGGAATGAACGAAAATGCAGCTGAATCTGAGACTGAATCTGAAGCCGGAGCTTGCAGCTCGCAGCTTGGAGCTTGGAGCTGAGCGAGTGCTGAGATTTTGATACTTTATGGCATTTATTGCAATCGTGTGCAGCTGTGGTGGTGGTGCTGGCTGTGTTCCCCCAGCTGAGGAAAAAAACAATTGCACGAAAAACGAAGGCGGAGGTGGCCCATCCGAGGTGCATGGGTTCGACTATTGTCTCAACGGCGGCATCTCGTTTACTCAATGTACCCTGTCTTGTTAAACAAACGCTCTCAGCCACATCTCTCCTCGGTTAGTGGGTAAAAATTAGCAAGCGGTGGTGCTCGTAAATTGGATTCCAATCGAGTCTCTCAACGCTCGAGCGCATCATCATCATTCAGCTTCATCTCCATTGAATTGCACGTTTGGGAAACCATTTTAATGCGCTCGGTGTCAAGAATCGCATATTGAGAAGTCTGCCCAGGCGGATGTCAATAAATCTGACTTGCGGCTCTTTCGCAGGGCGTCCGCGATCGCGTCCAGTCTTTGACCTTTCACCTAATGATTGGGCTGGGGCAAAGCAGCAAACTGGATTCGAAGCGGCTATAAATACCACTAATATCGACACCCTCCGGCCGAAAGGCTTAACATTGCGCAAAACAAGTTGCTCCACTTGGTGGCAACATCGAACATCCAACATCCAGCATTCAACATTCAGCATCCATCTGCCCCAGCCCCTTCTCCATTTTTATTTTCGTAAACTTTTCAGAAAGGGCAGCTGCCTCTTTTCGTTGTTTTTTGGGAAAACTCACTGCATGTCGCGGCGGCCAAGTTTAGCGTAAATGCTTGACATCTTTTGGCAACAAGGAGAATGCTCATTGACATTTGGCCAGCCAACAGTGCCGGCTGTTTGGAAAGGCAAACCATCTAGCAGGTTGTCAGTGGGTCTCATTCTGCTTGGGATGGTCACAGCTGTGCGGACCAGAACGCCATCCAAGTGGCAAAAGGAATTTGCACGCACTGCAACCGATCAAGCTGAGAAACAATCGAAAGAACAGCAACAGCAGCACAAAAAACTTGACAACTGGCCACGCTGCGTATGCGCAACATGCATCACTCATACGCCGAGTGGCCTTGCCAAATTAACACACAAATGAGCCGACGACCACGCCCCCATCCCAGCACATTGCATAAACATCGAAATTTAATAATAATCCACAGTCAGAGGGTGGCAATTAAGATGACTCAACTCGGATGCAGATGAACTGCAGCCCGTAGAATGTTTGCCGCGCTATGGGTTTTTCTACGCTAGGCAGTTCCTGAACAAGCGGATTATTTATAGCGTAATTATGATTACTCAATCGTAGAAATAAAATACAAAACGTTTATTCAAGCCTCGGGTGTTGTGGGTAGACATTAATTAGATAAGATGGGTCCAAAATGCTTACTCGCCAGTCATCATCTCCATGAATTCTGTAAACGAAACGAAGGTGAAAGTAAAACAATTAATTGGGTAAGCCAAAAGTTGAAGAGTATAAAGGGTTTGATAGGTAAAGTGACAGAAATCGTTTAAAATTTTAACAATTTTATAAAAAAAAAAAGAAAAACATTTTAAAAAATCTATCCAGATGAGCAATATTTTCAATTGAAACAGATACAAGCGTGCTTTCCTTTTAATATTAGATCTAGTTCTACCTCTATAAATCTAGTGCAAAACGATCTGCTTGTTTCTGCCTAAAGATCTAAAGATCTATTAATAGAGCGCCACAAGGGCGGCTCCCCTTCTCAGCGGGGGTTGGGGAGCTCCACCCAACAAATTGATATAATTTGGGTGGAAAATACCTTGGCATCGGGCCAAGGAATTTAAAATTTTTATCGCCCCACTGACGACGGCTAATTGGACCGCACACTTACCATCGAAATCAACGGTGCCAGAGCCGTCGGAATCAATTTCCTCAATCATGATGTCCAGTTCCTGTTCGGTCAGCTGGTCGTCCAGCTCCTTGAGGATCTCCTTCAGACAGGAGGTGGGAATGTAGCCATTGCCCTGCTTGTCGTACAGGCGGAAAGCTTCGCGCAGCTCCTTCTGCATGGCCTCATCATCCTCCTCCACGATGAACTTGGCGGCCAGCTGGACGAACTCCTCGAACTCCAGGCGACCAGACTCTGGGGGAAAATCAAAGATTAGTTTGAAAACAAGTGTAAATGGTTTCTAAAACTCACTGTCCTCATCAACCTCATCGATCAGCTCGTCAAGGATCTGCCTGTCGAAGGGCTGACCCATAAGACGCAGGATATCGGCCACCATTTCAGTGGGGATACTGCCGGTCTTCTGGTGATCGAAGCTGTTGAATGCCTTCTGCAGAACGGCAATCTGCTCGGGGGTCAGGTCCTCATCCTGAAGAAAAAATTATATTGAGTATTTTTAAATATGATTACCGGCTTTTTTCGACCATTAAAAAGAATAGCTCATAATAGCATGATTTGATAAATTGTATTGAAAAATTGCATTGATCTGATGCATATCTTACTCTAAAAAAGGTTTTGGGGTGAAACTATTAAAATTTAAATGCTTTAAAATTAAAAAGGGCAAGTTTCAGATGATCCTATAACCCTAGAAGTAATATGCTTTCTTCTCCACGGAAGAAAGGTTATCCTACAAATTTCCATTAATCCAGCATCACTCACAATGTTGTCCATGTTAAATCCTGTGCTAGTTGTTCACCAGATCGATCACCGCTAACGACTGATTCGGTTCCCCACTTCTTCATGGGGCTCTCGAGATCCCCGAGACCAGAACACACCCACACACAGCGCCAGGCATTCCAAAAGTAACAAGCTAATTTATGGTTTTCAGCAGCATTTCGAAAATAAAACCAGGGGAAATAAACAAAAGAAGCGAAACGCACACACCAACCTGGGGAAATCTTAAAATGTGTTTCTAATTTTTGTGTGGAGTGAAAAAAGAATGGAAAATACGAAAAGCACTGTAAAACCATTGAGCAGTGCCGAATTTACTGTGCCTGGCCACCAGAAAGCAACACCACCAATGCCACCACCGCCAAGAGCAGACGATCCCCATCCACCCACCCCATACGATTTTGTAGTGGTTTGCTAGGCTTAACAATGACTATTTTTAGGCAGCACTGCGCGAAAAATCCCTATAAGATCCGCCCGCCCCTGGAGTGATTCTATCTCATGCTGATTATAAACCAGTTCCAAATGCGCTGTCACCATCTGTTAAAATTAAACACGCTTAATGACAAAAATGTCTTAAATTACCTTATTTAAATAAACATCTCTTTTTATACTTTTGGGACGGATACTGGTCTTTATTTATGGCAAATTAAATAACTACAAACTCCGCGGGAAACTGAAAACCAACCCTGTTCTACGGCTTTAAAATTTCAGTTTCGCTTTCGTTGGGTATTTAACATGCGAATTCGAGATGAAACCGAAAGTAGCCCAAGTTCAGCAGTCCGATTTTCCTCAGTGTACGCTTAAGTGCTGCTCATTTAAATATGTATCCGATATCCACTCATAATTGGAGCAAATCTGATCACATTTTCCAATTCACAGCGACGACACGCTTTATGGATCAATCACGGAGCCCATAAAATCATTTTAAAACTCGACCAAATTAACGAGCAATTAAGAAATCGACATTAATTAAGAGGATGGAATCATTCCACACATATACACACACACTCGCTCATGGAAATATCAAACGAACAACGTGCTAAAACATTTTTATAAACGATTCGAATATTGTCTCTTGCGATTCTGCTTCCTACACCAATATAGTACGTATAACCAGATTTAAATTAGCCACAATATTAATTTTCGCTTTGTTTAATGCCAGCCATGATATGCAAATTGATTTATATATTTTAATAAAATGGCTGTTTGTGTGGCACACATTTTCGGAACAACGTCTTTGTTTATGCGGCTATGGAATATTGGGGAAATTGAGGAAACCAAATGTTGTTTACGAATTATGACAGCGCCAGCCAAAGCAGCCGCCAAAAAGTTGACGTCATGGTGACATATTGACCATTTGTTTATGTTCTTATTAATTTATTAGCAAGTTATATATGAGACGCATATCTCAAAATGCCAGGAATTAGAAATGGTCAGCAGCTGAGCTTGAGCAAGAAAATGAAAGAATTCGGAAAATTCGAAAACGGATGCTTATGGGTTTACCATTCGAATTACACGGAAAATACAATTTGGTTCCGAAAAGAATTTGAAATATTCGAAAATCGATGCATATGGGAATGCTCTGCGCTTTACACAAAAAAAACAATTTAGATTTTAAACAGAACATATGGTTTGACAATTCGGATGTTAAATGATGACCTATTGTTAGGTTTTTATATTACAAATATTTAAAGTTTACTTAAGACTTAAATATTCAATATCCAAATTTTTGTAATATTCTCTATAGAGAATATGGTTTGAAAGATTTTTTATAATACAAATATTAAAAGTTATTTTTTGATGCTTAAATTGTGTCTAAACTTAAGACTTATATATTTAATATCCTAATTTTTGTAATATATGTAAACATAAAAGCAAACAAATATTTGACTTTTATTTAAATGATTTTTAATATCCATATTAATATATTCAGATATTATCACATTTGCTTTTTAAATACTTTAGACCTTGTCTCAAATCTCACTCTTTTTTTCTATCGTTTTTAGTAAACTGGAAAACTTATTTTTTCTTTGCATACCAAAAGTTGATTGGCACTTTTCCCCAGTGTTCTCCCCGTTCGATCCCCTGACAGCATGTTGGCATCTAGACATCGCCCTCTCACCATCTCAATCCATCATCGTTGAGATTCGTTTTCATCGCCTGCAGTCTGTCGGGGTTTTCATGTTGGGCTTCCAGAGCGATTAGCCTCAACGACCCAGAATCCGAATGCGAATCAGAATCAACTGATTTGGCGGCAAATCGGTAACCGGAGCGCAGGCTTTTCAATGTTATTTTGACATTTGTGAGGCGACGAGGTCTAGCCTTGATCGTCGCGGCGGATCGACCACTTTAGTTACTTCGGATACAGCTACTTTTGCCCCTGGTTGCACCTCGTAATTTACGTTGGCATTCACTTTGCCCGTCGTCATAATTATAAGTGCTGCGGCATAAGCTGCATCGCGCAACTTAATCGGTCGCATCACTTTCAAAGACCGAAAGCCCAACATTTGCATCGCATATTATGACAACAAAGAGCCTGATTATCCCATCGCGATCACGTGACTAGATAGGGATTGCTAAATGTCCCCACACAGAAAAAATAACTATAACCTTTTCAGCCAGTAAAAGTAGTTTGGAAGAACTATTTTTTGGTTTACAAGATCAAGTTAAGGACTAACGTAAAAGGGTGAACATCTTAATAAATTGTATTCCAATTTTCTAATTTCTATACTACGGCAAAACAAATGAGCTTGTCAATTATTATCACAAATCCAAGTTTTGAATATATCTTTTAATAATAACCTCTTTGATGGGAAATTATCCCGACTTTATGGGATGAAATCGAGCCTCAGATCTTTTTGTTGCGTGGGTGGAGTTCATCTGCCCAAAAGTATGCAAAGTGGCAATGGGAATCCCCTGATTGATAAACGAAATCGAAAGTGGAAACTTTTTGGGAGACCCCAAGTTCAGGGGCAGCACATCAATAATGGCCATCGGTCACACCTATTGAATTACTATTAATATTCGTCTGTCTGGTTGACCCTCAATATTAGGCAAACTTGTTTCTGTCCGCTAATGAGGTATTTGAATATTCAAATTTGTATGAGCGCTGCATGTTAAAATGCATTGATCCTTTTGGATAAGAATAAAGATACTTGGAGCGTTTTTTTTTAATTTTCAACACATATATTTTTAACACAATTATTTATAATATTTATTCCTTGGAAGGGTGGGCGGCAATCCACTCAATGGCGCGCTTGATGGCCTCTGGGATTGGGGGTGGGGTGGGCAGAGGAGGGTTGGCGGACAGCACCTGGTAACCGTTGGCATCGGCGACGTATTCGATGGCCACGTTCTCGCCTTCGGGAGAGGTCCACGCTTGGCTTCCCTTAACAATCCACTCATCACCGTGAAGGCTACCCTCCTGCTGGAGTTTCACAGAGTTGTCGAGCTCGAGTGCGGACTTGAAGCTGTCCACGTTCACCTCTGCGTCGTTGCGGAGGACATTGGCATCTTCGTTGGCGGCAGCGAGGGCCAACAGGCAGGCGAAAGCAATCTACAAGGAGTCCAAGGAACCAATCAATTAGAATCCATTGAGGATCGCTTTAATGATAAGGCCACTTACGAAGAACTTCATGTTGTTTATTGAAAGACTTGAGAAGGCTAACTGATATCGAACTGAAACATTTGCCGGCTTTTTATATGATACCGATGATGCTATGTTTGCGTCTGCCGGTGGCGCCCAAGTTCAAGTCAAGTGACGCGTACGATTTAATTTCATTAATTATGCATAAGATAACACAAAATACATGTTTATGTGTGCCTCGTTATTGCCGATCAGTTAAAGATCTTGGTGGACTCCAAACCAAAGCGCAATATAGACGGAAGACGAGTTCGACACGGAGACATTAACTAAGTATGTGTCAACTAGCAGACACATTGTAAAGATATAATTAATTCTCGAATTATTTGCGTCAAAAATGTTAAATTTGCATAATTTTCGGCTTTAACCAGCCGGCCAGCGACCGGTTTGCGTATCTCTGGTGCGTATCTCTATTTGAATCTAGCTTGGGGCGGCCACCTTGACATCCCTCCTGAGAAAACATAGGTCTCTGATAAATAATTCGCTTTATTGTTCGTTCAGTTTTAATCTACAGCTAGGCATTGCCGCTCATCAGTTTCTGGACGGCGCGATCAAATTTCCTGCAAAGATAAAGATCATACGTGAGAAAATGGTAAGACATGCTAGTTTCTAGACGTCTCACTTGGAAGTCAGCGATTCGCCGGGAATGTAGAAGGGATTGCAGATGGCATCTGTGTAGAGCAAGTGGAGATTTCGGAAGATCTGGAAGATAAGGAAAGTGAGAGTTATTTAGTCAATTGTTCGAACGAGAATGGATACCCACCGCTCGGACCTCGTTTTCCCGTAGAGCAACATTACTGGAATCAATGACCACTATGAACTTTACCCGGGTGTTGGTCACAAAACCATAGCTGTAACAAAATACACCTTTTAGTGATAAAGATACAATTGGATGCGATGGAATGCTGATACATTTTGTGGTTCTCCGTGGAGTAGAGCAGTCCCAGGTAGAGTTCCTTGGACTCGGGAGCTCCCTTGCCAATCAAGCACTTTTCCTCCACGACGTCCAAAGCGGCATGTACGTGGTATTGTAAATCCAGTTCCTGCTCCATATCGGATGTGGTCAAGTATAGGGGGGCATTCTTTAAAGATTCACTATGTTATTAATTATAAAAAACATGAAAAATAAAACTTACATCCTTGCCAATTACTGCTATGCAAAATGCCATGTTTTGTTATTTCTGGGTGTTTATTTGTTTACCTCTACGCTAGAGGTGGGAGGATATCAGCTGCTTGGCCCGTTATCGATAGACCGGCCATCGAGAGTGTGACCAAGGCAGGGAACAGCCAGCGAGAAAAATGTTACCGTAACTGATAAGGAGTGAATTTTATCTATACTTGTTGTTAGCTTGTTGTTTTTTGATTTCATTATTCCATTCAACGGGTGTGTGCGAAAAGAAAACAACGCAAAATTGATTTGGCAGCCATTGCGGATCGGCTTAGCACCCTGCTGGAGATGGCGCTCCAGATAGCGCAGAACAACCGCGATGGCCAGCAGCTGGTGGGCGGTGAGGGTCAGGGCAAGGTGGAGGTGTACGTGCTGTTTGCAAACACGACATATCGTACCCTCGACCTGTACTGGGTGTGCGAGCGGGATCGGGAGAACCTCTACCTCACACTCAAGCCCTTCGAGGAGGTCCGGGTGAACACATACAGCACGCACAGCTGGCTGTTCCGGGACTACTACACCGGCGAACGGATGCACGTCCGCTCGCAGAGGATATTCCAGCCGATACGGGTGCGGGTGCCCAAGAACCCACACAATCCGGATCAGCTGGTCGACGTGCGCAGCGAGGTCCTGATCCACTTCCCCATGAGATCACTGCGCGAGAACTGCCTTTGGCTAGTGGCGCGGTGGCTAATCCGAACTAGCAACGCGCCCAGGAGAATCATCCATGGCTATCACATACCCTCGACGCTGAAGCAACAGCTCCTCAGCCTGCTGACCTGCATCGAATCCTATTCCCGAGTGGCCGGCACCAGGCGTCGCCGTTAGGATTGCACTTATAGTTGTTAGTTAAATGGGGGGGCAGAAATCTAGGGATTGAGAGCCAGACTTGATTTCCAAATAATTTAATAACTTTAATTGATTTTCATCCTGGTTTTCGTTTTTTTCGCTTATTACTTATGTACAAATTGGCTTGCATAGAGCGTTTTACAGGTTGGACTACTGCCGTTGCATTGATTTCTTGTATCTTTAACAGATTACTTATACTTATGTCCTATGTATATAATTATGTATAAACCTAATGTGAAACAAGTGTGAATATTACATACATATATGCGCAATCCTCTAGGTCTAGATGCTTCAGATGCAAATACGTTTTTAATGGTATGTCTGTAGTTACTCCCTTGCAATGCTTATCTACGTGTGTGTGTGTCGCAAGCTTAATTCTTATAAGTCTGAATCTGAACTACATAGAAGTATTCCTAACGAGTAGTAAACAAACAGAAGCACTCGGGTGCACTTTTAAATGTAAAGTAATTGTTCAAACAGATTCTCCTTGAATGTTTTCGTCCACGGGACGAGACGAATGTTAACTCAAATACATTGCATAAATACATACAAATTGTTAATTCGATCTGCTCAATCTCGTTCTCATTCAATAATGCATCGGTACTGCTTCGGTTAGGCGGGAGATCACATGCCATCATCGTTCAATACTTGCGCGCCACGCGCTCCAGGCTATCCCCGATCGAACCTATGGGGCGGATATATAAGCACAACTCTCGGTTAGGCAATCGCAATTGCAGAAATGAACTATGCGTTGTGTTTGTGAGGGGTGTTCTTGTGTTGATCTATGCGTGGGCTCTCTTATTTACCATCGTAGTTGAAATTCTGCTTGGTCTTGTACTGAAACGTAAGATCGGTCGATTGCTTCCAAATAAAGTGGCGTACTGTGCGCAGGTCCATGTTGGGGTCCACAACCTGAAACGGAAACAACAGTGAGCCAAGGCTTATAAAGAGATATTTCCATCATACTAACCACATCGTTGCACCACAGCTCAATTCGTTCCTCCGCTGGCAGTTGGGATCCCTCCGAATTAGCATCGCTCTGGCTATTTTGCAGGGAATTGTTAGCATTGCCTCCACTCGGGGTGGTCTCCGCATTGAGCACCTTTTCCAGCACATGCTCGCAGACCTTGCGGCACTGGATGAATTCATTAGCTACTAGGCGATCCTAAATGAAGGTATACAAAATGTATTAAAAGTTGAACTCTAGCTGCTACGGTAGACTGCTACCTTCTTCGTTCGCTCTGGCTTGGTCATTTGCGGGTGGGGCTGCAGGAAGAACGGTATTTTGAGGAACTTGGGAATGTTCTTCTCGATCACCACATCGGTCACCCACTGGGGCGCAGTCTCGTGGAGCAGTGTGCTCTCGCTATCGCCGGCTGCATCACGCACTAAAAGACGGCAAACAGTGCGGCCGCCCACTTCACTATTGGATTTAGCAATAAATTTAATTAATTAGAAAAGGTTTATATACGGTTAGAGCACAGTTATCTCACCTAAAAATGACGGGCGTGTGTTTGGGCACTTGGAAATAGCCATTACCGTGCATGTCGGGTTCCATTTCGTTAGGTGGTATGCTATGCGGTGGTGTCCAGTACTCGAGCAGGGCCTCTAGCAGTAGTTTTCCATAGTTGATCTAAAATACGATCATTTTGAATTTCGGAAACTCATTGGGAAGTGTTTTAATTAAGTAGCCAACCTTTATCTCTGTTGTGGGATCAACGCACTCCGGCAGTCCAGCTTCAATGGACACCCATGCCGAGAAACAATCCACTTCCTCCTGGCCCAAGACAATCGTTGGCATCTGCATATGAATATATTATTAGTTAATCGAACTCATGCTTAGACCGACCTTTAACTCACCCCGGTTTTCAGATCAACAGTGAACCAGTTTGGAATGTAAACCTGCTTGTTGCGCTTCTTAACCTCCGCCTCGTAGTCCACGGCACCCAGTTGCTCCTTTTTGACCACTCTCAGCACATCGTAGACCACTACCTGTTCCTGTGAGTCCTTGGTTATAATATAACGCTTGTCGTTCAGCACCGTGCACTCCTTGATAGCAGCCCCTCCTTTGATGCAGGCCACCTCAGTGCCGCCCTGTGTCCACTGGGCGTCCATGCCACCCGAGGAGTTCATCGTGCATCTATCGTACATGGGCAGCTTCCAGCAGCGAATGTCCGAGTTCCAGGTGGTGGCCCACACCCCAGTCTTGTCGATGTTGTAGCCCAGACTGAGAACGGGCGCCTGCTCCTCGCACACCAGCGTCTTATTGGTAGGATTCCGCATCTCGGTCACAATGATGTTGCGATCCCGGCTACCGGAGATGATATACTGGAAGTTCTCGCTCATCAGCAGCGACCACACGCCCTCCTTGTGTACGTGGATGGTCTGAACACAGCGTTGTTGACCCAGGTTCCACACCTTGATGGTGCCGTCGGAGCTGCCGGACACCACCTGGTTGCCATCAGGCGAGACCACCAGGCAGCGCACGTTTTCCGTATGGCCACGCAGCTTCATGCTTCGCATACAGGTGCGGGGATCCCAGATGCGCAGTATATTCTCTGTTGACCCGCTCACAATAACGGTGCCCGATGGATTCATGGCCAAGCTGTAGATGGAGTCCTTGGACCCGGTCAGACTAGAGGTGGTCACCGTGTTGTTGCTGGCCGTGAGGGCAGTTAGTGTGTTCACGTCCCACAGAAAGATGGCCTTGTCCAGCCCGGCGCTGGCCACCTGCTCCCGATCCTTGGCGTAGGCCAAGGCCTGCACGTAGTCGCGATGGGTGCGCAGGGTGGACATGCAGAAGCCCTTTTGCGCGTTCCACACCTTGACCGTGGTATCACAGCTGGCACTAATTACTAATAATAAGGAAGATGGGGTTTTAGATTGCTTTGTAACCCGATCTCTGGAGCAACTTACGGTTCCTTCCGTTGCAGCAGAGCACTATGTCGTTGACCCAGTCGTTGTGGTGCTCCATCGACTGTATGTACTTCTCGCTGGAGTCCGTGCGAGTGTTCCACACGCGGATGATGGCGTCGCGACCGGCGGAGTACAACTTGCCGTTGTTGGCGTCCAGCTGCAGGGCATTGACGCCATTCCGGTGCTGTTTCTCCTCGGCGTCCCGTATCACGAAGGAAACCTGTCGTCCGGCGGTTTAATTGAATTAGTTTGGGCTTCCGCCTCACCATTTCCATTTGGCCCCCCCGGCTACCCGTTTCCAATTGGCGCACTCACCTGCATTTTCTTACGTGCCTGACAAGTTTTGTGCGTCAACATGTCGTCCACGGATCTGCTGCACTGTGGCTCTCGGCGATATCTCTGGACTGGAGTGCTTCAGGAGCTGCTGTTGGCTATTCTGTGCTCGTGGGGCACGCACATCTATCGCGGGGTTAATTTGCGGCGGCTGATATTTACTTTTTGCGAATCGAAATTAAGGAATTTCCAGCCAACTACAAATTTTTCGCACCTATTTCGCTCTCTGTCTCTCCCCATTCGGTCCTCCCACCTCGCTGTCCCTCTTACACCCACTCTCCTGCGCCGGCTGGTGTTGCCACCTGGTTTTGCACACTGTGCCGGCTGTTCAGCAGAGTTGACACTTTCGGTTCGAATATGTGACTGACTCCGGAACCAGTGAAATAATTATGGTATGAATTTTTACAAAATTCGCCCATTGCTTATAATAAACAAACCAATCAAAAATTATTATTATGTTTTGAAGATTATTTTTTAGCTCAAAACACATTACGCTTTTTTAAAAGTACTTTTAAAAATCGTTTACGGGAAATCTTTTAAAGAAAATCAAATAACATCAAATGATTACTCTCTTAAAAAAATTGCTTATCCGGTAAAATAATTATGGAAATTAGACCTAAATACAGCTTAATTAAAAAAATATGTTCAGATTTCGGAAGACATGAATTTTAAGCAACGTCGGACAAACATTCTTCATTGCACGAAGAAACTCGAAGGTAAAAGGCTTTTCAAAATACTTACTAAGATTAATTAGACAAGGTGAAACAAGAGATTTTAGACCCCAAAGTCAAATAAACTCTCAGACATCCCCAAATATTGCCTTACACATTTTAAAGTCTACAATTTCAAACTAAAAACAGTGATATTCCGCAGGGCGTAATAAAAAGCTCTAGCGCGACTTGACAACCCTGCTCTTTACATAACAAGAAGAAGAAGACGTCTCATCGACCCCACCACACCGGGATTTAAAGATTTAATTGCATTTTAACCGAAAATAATGGCCAGCTCGCAGTCAAACGACGCCTGCAGCATATGCGACAAAGTGGGCCTCAAGCCCTTCACACGGGAGAATGTGTTCAACTACTACATACCTATCCACGGCCTGGTGAGCTACGGAGCCCTGGCGGTGAATGTTATGAACCCCCAGATCGTGCCCAAGATCCTGCCCAAGAAGGACCTGACGAACGTCTTCCTCATCTCGGCTGTGGTGGGCAGTGCCTTCTACATCTACGGCAGGCCCCACCTGAAGGACGTGAAGAACAACAAGCGGGGAGCGTACGCCCTACTGGGAGCCACCCTCTTCTCCATGGGATCCGTTCTGGCCTGGGCGTTGATCAAGTCCGCCCTGCCGCAAGACAACGCTCTGCTGGCGACCCTGGCCGGCTTGGGAACTGGAGCTGCCGTCGTCAAGCTCGGCATTGACTACATTCAGGACGTGGACAAGCTGCAGAAGAACTGAAGATGATCTAATCGATGGAACTGAGGTATCCCTAACCCAAACTGGGTTCGTACTGTAATTGCTGTCTTGGCCGTACATAGCTCGTAATGCAATATTATCTCCCGCATATTTGAATAAAATTATACAACAACCCCGATGGAGCGGTGTGTTTTGCTCTGAAGAGATAATGCCGGGCGTAGATTGAAAATGTTTGCGTTTATTTTAAATTAAATGTACCTTTAATTGCCGTCACTTAACTGCTAGTAATGCTTAACAATTGAATTGTTTTAATTTACTTTATGTATGTGTGGTATATGCGTTACCTTTATTAATGGTTATTTTGTATATAAAAACATCCAATCGGAAAGTTTCTCTAACGCCAATATGTACATTTCAATCGGGTTAAAACATTCTACAAATTGCCTTAGTTAGCGACTTTGAATTGACGACTACTTTACGATAAATATATAATTTTCGTATTGCGAATCATACACTTTAAACTTATATTAAATTCTTGTATACATACTTTACAAACGCTCAATGGTCGGACTTAACTTAACAATCAATCATTAAATATATATCATTATGTATATACTCAAAAAAATCATTGAAAATCGTTGCAAACGGTTGTCCCCGAAAGTGAATGATTTCGCGCTGCAAAAAATTCGAATCAACTAAGTTATGAATACATATTGCATTTACAAAAGGTTGCTCGTTCGCACAGCATTTAATGCGGGAACCTCCACAAAGGGAGGAACTCGCTGCTGCCGCTGTGCAGAGAATACTAAACTAGTACAGTAGTTACACACTAGGGCCTATAAACAAGATAAGCATTATTGGAAGATGCAAGCGATTGCAAATTTGCAAATATTGCAATATGTTTGCCGACTACATTACAAAATCAACAAAGCGCTAAACGCCTTTCGCGCGAAGAGGGATGCAACAATTTAAATTACATTTAAACTTGGCCCGCCTGATCAACAATAAAACCGATGCGTGGACTCGCCCACTGACTGGATTAGTTGCTCCCGCTGCTGTTCTTCAGCTGCACCCCCAGAACCTCTCGCAGCTCGCCCAGCTCCTGAGGGCCCTGCATCAGGCGCTTGACCCCACGGGGCAGTCCACGGCACGATGCCAGGTTGATGGAGCTCATCTTCCGGCAGTTTGTCAGTATTTCCTTTACCGCCTCATCAGAAACCGACGACCCGCACAGATTTAAATGACTGCAAAACACACGTAAATTGGATTTTATAAGCACACAATAGTTTGATTAGTTCAATATATACTCACGCCATGGGGGACTCCCTGCCCTTTTCGGCGAGGGCTCGAAGGGCGTTATCTATGGGTTGCTGCATATTCGCCCAAGCCAAATCCAGTTCAATGAGACTGTGCGCCCACTTGGAGGCAATAAGCTCCAGACCCGACCTACGTTGGGTAAGCTTGTGATTACAATACGTTTCTCATGATGGAAAGCAATCAAACATACCCCATATCCCGAGTGACTGAGCAGCCTGACAGGAATAAATGCTTGATATCCCAGGCAGGTAGGCGAATGAGGCTTTCGTGAGTCAGCCGGGTGCAGTTGCGCACGTCCAGTAACTTGAGCTTGGAACTGCTCTTCAGGATGCGCTGCAGGTGATCGTCGCTTATGATGCGCGATTCATCTGTCAAGGCAGCCACGGACAGTTCTTCCAGATCTGGAAAGCCGGGGGAGTCCATCTGAAAATGTGTCTTTTTAATAACAAAATTCAAAATAACAAAATGCAACCGTCTTACAATTTCCTGCATTGATGCCGTGCTAGGCGTTATGTGGGAGTTTGTCACCCGCAGGACCTTCAGCTTCTGGCAGCCACGCTGCAACTTCTCAATATGAAGTACACCGTGTGATGTGGCCTGAGTGGTCACATTCGAGAGATCCAATAACGTTAGATTCGGGCAATGCGTCTGAAAAAAGTAATATAGATGTCCATAAGCCATGTGAAAAAGGATGAAACACTGCACTACTCACCGAAAGAATTCCGACTATCTGCGGTATTCCCGCCAGACGGTTGTGCGCCAAGTAGAGATGAGTTAGGCGGCTGCCCATGGTCTGCAGTGCATTGCACAGTGAGTTTACACCCACAGCACTCTTGCTGGCGTTCATCTCAACCTGGGCGTTGAAAAGTTAACATCAGTATGAGCTTTGCAACCACACAGCACAACTTACATTGATGGAGCTCAAGTCTAGGCGCTGCAATTTATGCATGTTATCCACCAAATACGTCAGATGATCCGAAGTGAAACCTTTCCAGCCGGACAGTGTAATGCCAGCGAGATTCGGGCAACCGCTTGACAACTTGGCAAGGAAGCAGTTTATGTCTGATATTTTCCAATTGGCTAGAAGAATATATTCGACCATTAGATTATATTACTAAGCTTTGTCTTCTCAACTTACAAACATTAAGCTCTGTACAGGCACTGCAGCGGTTGTCCACAAACCACTTGAGCTTTAATTCAGTGCGGTACTTCTCCTTGACCCATGTGGTAAGATCCATGGTGCGCCACAGAGTGGGCCTAAGAGAAACCTGTCGCCAGAGTGAGCAAACTCTGCCAAGGCGAAAGAGGGTGGGCAAACAGCCCTGTGTATCCACTGCGTGCTCGAAAATCTAAGGAAATAATAAATTTAAATTAGTAATGGGTTTCGTTTTGTAACTTTACTTTGCTCTCACCCTAAAAAGGACTTCCTCTGGCAGCTTTTGGGCCCAGACACTCTGCTCGATTGGCTCGCCAGCCGCCTCCGCATCCGAACTCGTTGAAACCTTCTTCTCCGCGCCACTTCCTCCCCCTCCACCTTTTTTCTTTCGGGGTTCATACTCGGCCTCATCGCTATCCTGTTGCTTTGGTTTGCGGACACGCTTGCGCGCCGGCTTTGAGGCCGCTGGAACGGTCACTGGAGGAGATGTGGCTCCTGCGGGTGCGCCGTCCCCCGCATCGGATTTCTTGATGCACAGCTTGATGCCCACCTTGTGGTCGCTGATCTCGCTCTCGTACATTGGCAGAGCCTTGGGTTTGCGAGACCGGGAGGCACGTGGTGACGTGGTAGCCGCCTTGCTGGGCTTCTTACCGCCGACCGCTGTGGAGAGAGGCTTCCCTGACTTTGGTATGGAGCCATTAACAGCCGCTGTGGGCAGTGCCTCCTCCTTCGCCGGCGGTGGAGCCGTTGACTGTTGCTCCGCCGCGGGAGACCGCTGACCCTCGGAGGCCGGGGAGCAAGATGTCGATGTGGCCGTGTTGGTCTCATCCGTTTGGGTCTCTGACTTGGGCGGCGACAAGATGTTCTCCGGGATGACGGCCGTGCTTCCCGATGTGGCAGTTTCGGCGGCCAGCAACTGTGATTGGGGCGGGGTTTGTGAGGGCGTCGACGGGGTGAGTGTGTTTATGTCCACCGTGGCAGATTTCTCCTTATCCCCCGGGTCACCTTGCTCTGGCTGCTGACCACCCGTGTCTTCAGTCTCCACTTCCATAGCAGATCCGGCCGAATCTTTGGCTGTGGACACTTCAGCTTTCTCTTTTGCGCCATCTTCGTCGGACACCTTGGTCTCCTCCACTTGAGAAACCAGAGATTCGCTCATCACACCACTCGCTCTTCTGCAATTTAAAAAAGAGTACGAACGTTAATACCCGATTTATAGTGGAGTACTTTCATTGTCGTTATTGCTACTACTGTTGAAATTCAAGTTAACCGGACTTCGAGAAATACGAATTACCTATTGATGCGAATATAAGTTTGGCCAATAAAGATTTCGAGTACCTCTATTTTAAATTTAAATATTGTTTGTATTATATGAAAGTTTATTTTTTAAACTTATAGTTATTTATCTAATTGCTTATACTTTATATGCAGTTATAAATGTTTTTGAAATTCGACTAAGTTAGATCCGATCCGATTGTTTACTGTTTACAATAGGAATATGATCCCTCACGATTCTAAGTTGTTTGTTATTATTTGTTATTGGTTTATTCCAGCCTGGTGATAAGAGCAAAAACGGTAACAAAAAACAATTAGAAATTTTCTCATTCCGGCCGGGAAAATCGATGCAAAAAGAACTCAACCCATTTTGGCGGTTTTTCACGGTTTCCCATTCGCCCCCGTTCTCAATACGAAGTGCTCTCTCCTCTCCGAACCCAACATACAGTCGTAAATCTCACCTGCTACAACAAATTACATATATATTTTTTTGTTTTTATTTTTATTCGTTTCTTCGCTCTTAATAAACAAGTCGACCGCAGTTTGGGTCGCACCGACTTGTTAGTGACCTGTGCGCACACTCCGTTCGAGTTCCCGCCATAAATCTCGGTTGTAAAGATTCGAGGAAGAGGGGACTCAAGGGGGATCTGTTTAGATGGGGAGTATTTCCAGGGGGTTTCCTGTTTCACTATGCTGTGTTCTGTTTCTCAGCGGCAGTGCACTTCACTTATTGCATACAATGCTCCGCGCGACGCGTGCAGGGTGCATAATCGGCATTCAACTCACCACTTGGAAGAGAGGTAGGTACACAAATGTATGTTATCTGCAGAGACACTGCTCGTCTCGCTCGCACTCACTGCGGTACTGTACTGCACTGCGGTGTGTGAACGGTGCGGCACTATGTGTGTGTGTTTGAATTGTTCGAATTCGATTCTAAAGATTTTTTCCTTTGGCGTTTTACGGACACTTTAGGCCTTTTCACCTGCCCGAATGGCCGAATTCACATTGGTGCCGATCTCGAGGGGCGCTGCACTGCAGTTGGTCACGGCATTAGCCACAATTCGTACATTTTAGAGGCGCACAATCAATTAAAACTTATTTATTTGCTGCAACAAACGACGTAGATAGAAAGCTGGGGATGTTGTTGTTGTATCGATACATCACAACAATCGCCAGTGGGACCAGGTGAGAGATACACAATAAATGCGGCACTTGCAACGCGGGGTGGCAAGGCCATGGGAAAAGCGTTAACATTTGAAATGGCTTCAAGGGGGAATACCCGAATGTGGGGTTCCTCAGTAGGCGTAGTCCAGGTTGGCCACCTCCGGCAGCACGGTGAGATTCTTGTGCACCTCCAGCCAGCGCTTGGCGTCGTAGGTGGTCTTGGCATAGGTCCGGCCGAACTTGTAGGTCTCTCCGGGAACATGGCCCGCATAGCTGGGCACCATCCCGTCGTCCTTGTGGTAGACGATAAAGTGCTCCACGGGCGGACAGGTGATGGCAGGCCGGCTGAGGTCCTGGCCACAGCACCACGTGTCCCGCTTCTTCTTGTACATGTAGTCGGAGAAGCTGCAGAGCGCCCGCCGGGTGAGCACCTTGTTGGACTCGCCGAACCGGGTCACCGACATGGGAATGTGACCGGCGTAGCCGTTGATGATGAACTTGTCCGCGTCCTCGTCCTCCAGGAAATGCGGAGACGTGAACTTGCTGTAGCAAAGCTTTTCTACCCTCGGCGGACACGACTCATCCTTGATGCCCTTGGACACTCCGGTGACCGGAATCAGAGGCGACCTGTAGTAGGTCTGCGGCAGAAGTCTCTCGTTGATCTTGCGGTCGAACAGACCGTTTCCACTCTCCAGAAGATCCCGGTGCCTCAGCGTCCGTTTCTCGCAGCGGTACAGCTCCATCAGGGTCTCGTGCCGGGCCACTCCCGCGGATGCGGCGGCCACATAACGCTTGCCAATCTGACTCACTTTGTTCGGCACAAAGCCAGCGTAGCCGGGTAGAATGGGATGCCTGTAAACGGAGTCCACCAGCCCCTCACGAGTACGCAGGATCTTCAGCTCTTGATCCGTGGGATAATCCTTCAGACCATGCTTGGCATGAATGGAGGCCACAATTAGCTCCGGGGCATGGTAAATACAGGGATCTATTAGCAGCTTGTGGGTTTGCCGGCCATAAGTTCGACCCACTCTGTCCCGATTCTGAGCACAATGACCCGTGTACCTAAAGGCCATTGCAGTTATGATATATCAAATGAGTATATATAGAGGAACTCTTACCCTGGCACCAAGTGCGGTTCCGGCGTTATGGCGTGGTCCATTTCGCTAACTATAATTTACTTGCACAATTAATTTGGAAACTTTACGCATAAATTTACAAGTTTTTTATATACAATAAATAACAAAGGCCTCAAACGACAGTTAAATAAAGTAAGCTAGATTTGTTTTAATAAAAAATATTGTCAGCCACCACCCATGGAATGCGGGCTTTAAACGCCCGCCACTCGCAGCATATCATTGATGCTAACAATCTTCTCCCGCGGCTTTCCCTTTGCCTTGCCCGCCTCGATTTCAAAGTCGTTGATCCGCCGCCATCCATCCCAAGTAACTACTCGCTTGCCATCGGCATCGTATCCTGGTTTTGCTGAGCTGGTATCCACAACATTCGCGGCTGTGTCATCACAGATGTTTTTCGCCACCGAGAAGGCGCCGTTCATGGTGGTCACAATAACTCCAGTGGGTCCAGTTCCCAGCCAGCCGGCCACATATAGACCGGGATCCACAATTCCCGAAGCATCATCCTTGAGAACACGACCGTCAATGTTGTGAACACGACCGCGACGGGTGTCGAAATTGATGGCCCCATCCACGCAACTGGATTTGTAACCAATGCTGCGCAGGATTAGGTGCGAGGGAAGGCGCTCCGTGGAACTGGTGGCCACTGCTGCTTCCTGCTGCAGTTCCGTGACGGAGAACTCCATTTCCCCTGGACCTATAGCTTTCGGAGCACGCAGGAAGATGGGTAGGAACTGTTTGGTGCCAGAGGACCTGCCCTGCTCCTTCAGACTCTTAAGCATCAGTTCGGTGAGTCGCTTGCGAGGACGCTGCAGCTTATCCAACTGGATATCTATGCCTGAAGGATTGGAAACCATAAGTATGTCGAAGAAAACCTGGGAGATTCCATGACGCTTACCCGAGAAATCATCGGTTCGCCAGCGAGTGTCCACATTGGGCAGTTTGAGCATCTCCCGCAACTCCTTGATTGTGAAGGCGGCCTGCAGGGGACCACGCCTGCCCACCAGATGCACTCGCTCGACTTGACTGCGGGATAGGGCTTCCAGGGCATACTCCGTTGTATCTGTGGTCTATGATTACAAGGTAAGAATCAGAGATTCTTGTGTGTACTTAAAAGAGCTTACCTTAAGAGCATCCAAAGGACTGAGGAGCATCCTGGCCACATCCACAGCGACGTTGCCCTGACCCACAATCGTGACATCGCGACCACTGAGATCCGGAGCCAGGTTTTCTGCACCCGGCAAGCCATTGTACCAAGCCACGAATTTCCGGGCAGATATCACATTGCCCTGCTGCTCGTTCTCCAGTTCCAGCTGCCGATCCTGGTCCGCTCCGTAGGTGAGGAGCACGGCATGGTACCGATCCCTCAGCTCCTGCAGGCTGACATCCGAGCCCAGCGATAGGTTGCCAAAGTAACGCAGACGCGGATGCTCGGCGGTCTTGGTGAAGGTGTTGATTACGTTCTTGACCTCCGGATGATCGGGCGCTACGCCGAAGCTGCAATGTGCGATTTGCATAATGGGACAAGTCGTTAGCCGATAAGTGCAATGGAATGCCGTGTACACGCAACCGTGTGCGGATAAAAGCATTTGGGTTTGGAGAGGGAGTCACAGTGTTGCTTCCAAGATGAAGGCGGTAGTTGTTGCTGCTCCACTGATTGTGTGTCTCTTGGTGATCATTAGTCCGGCCCCGACCGCAGCCAATCCTCTTTGGAATCTCGATCAGGTGGGAGGTACGTACTTGTTAGCCCTGAATTTCTTGAGAGGATTGCGAGTTTCCCCTGCCATTTCAGCCTACTTCAGTGGCATCTTTCGCTCAATTGTGGGTCCACTCTTTGGCTTCGGCCTGGGCACCAATAGCACCGCCTTCTAAAGCTATACATATCTGCTTACCGCACCAGTCCGAAGGGAACCGGCAGCTTCTCGAGCACGTCCACCACGCAGTCATCCAGTTGCTTGAGGATTAGTTGGGCGGCATAGAAGCCGGCGGGTCCGGCTCCCACGATGCATATCCGCTTGGTGGGCTTGGCACCCTGGATCATCTGCAATCGGGCGGAACTCGTTTGGAGGCCACGTCTCCAGATGTTAAGTAGACCCATGCCCATCGTAGATCATTCGCCGCGTCTTCTGTTTATATTTAGGAAAGCTATAGATTAATACAGCTATTTCAATAGATATTCCAGCAGATGATCACCACTTAAAAGTTGTTTGTTAATGATGATTTGTTATTTACTCTTATCTGCGGAAAGACCTTTGGCGGTGGTCTTAAAAATACCCATCAAAATAGTACCAAAATAATGTATTTACTCGCCTGTGCGTTTTGGTAACACTGACTGACTGCGGGTTTTCTGTTTTTTGAAGAAAAAGGCCCCTCAAAAATGTTGAAAATATGTGTAGGACAATTAGTTTTAGATTATCCTTAAAAATATTTGAAAATTTAAAAATTTGTTTTCCGGAAATGGTAGTTACAGAGTTACTTCAACGAAAAATCGAATAGCGCGCCACATTACTATTTTTAAAATTATGATTTCAATTTTAAATAAGAATGTTTATCAATTTAGTATTTACTGAATTCTGTATCTAATTTTTATTTCTAATAATGTTCTACCTATATAACTTATTAGAAAACTAAAAAAAAGCATTAGCTTTTAGTATTAAAAAAAATGGATCAACCCAATAAATCAATAAAGCATTTTTTTAACTTTTATCAGTGAATAATTTTATTACCACATGCCATTTTTCTACATTCTCCATTCTCCATTCGGCTGTACTACAGTATACGATTTATTTTGGGTGCTTCTCTAAGCGTAACACAGCAAATTTGATTGGCTATACGTGAGCTAGTGATCCAAAAATCGGGGCTTCAATCGTGGTTGAGGGCCAGATGGCGCTTGGCGTCGATGGTGGCACGACCGTAGGTGTTGCCCACCCGGAATTTGTTGCCCGGAACATGGCCGCCATAGCGCGGAATCATGCCCACTACCCGGGGATAGATCACGCCATTGGGATTGGCGAAGGAGCGACCCACACCAGCCTTCTCCACGGGCACCCACTCGGCGCTGCGGATGAAGTGCATGTCGTTCTTCGGGTAGCACCATCCCTCATCCGGCAGGTGGAAGTCGAAACCAAATCCTAGGGAGCACCAGTAATGTATGTGAGTGGGAACCCTTGGTCAATGGTATACTCACGGCTGGAATAGGACATGTTTTGTATCTCCGAGTGTTGCTGCTTAACTGGGTAACTGGAAACTGAATCTGACTATTAATAGTAAGCCTGACAGGAGGTGCTTCGACAAAACGACCGTGTTGCCCATGACAACGGAGGCCAGGATTGCCTAGATGGCAGCAACAAGTTCGGTCACGACACCGATTTGCATTTCCTGATGTTGTACCTTAATGGCAATTAATCCGACTCCTCGTAACAACACAATTACCGTGGCATTTAATAGAGTTACGGGGTACTGTTTATTTTATTACGTTTACTGGTTTATGATTTAGTCATTTACAGGGCGATTGTATTGATTAACAAGATGGAAGGTCTCAGGGCCGGAAAGTACTACGTTGGGGACATCTCCTCCTCCTCGTCGTCGCATCTTCTTCTCCTTCAGTTGGACTTCTTAGCCTTCTTCTGTTGCTTGCTCTTCAGCTTCTCCTGCTTCTTGAGCTCCTTCTCGGTCAGAGATTTGTACAACTTGTAGCCGAAGAGAGCTGCAAAGTGAAAGAAATACAGAGCAGTTAATAAGGTGGCTTGGTTGGAACTTAGGATCAAGGGAACTGAGACCGAATATCGAGACCAGGAGAAAGATCACTGCCGAAACTATGGAACTGGAGTAGGTCTGTGCTATGTGGGCATGCTGCACAATTCGCTCCTCGATCCTGCCTATCGTCTCCTGAAACTTGTCCTTCATCTCTGCGAGAAACTGATGCCGGTCCGTTTCGGCCAGAGACTCCAGTTTGCTCTGCATTTCGACGATCCGCTTGACGAGATCCTTCGAGAACTTGCTGCTGGGCCCCGTTTTGGACACGATCGTCTCCACGGACTGTTTCAGCTGCTCGAGTACGCCGAGTTCGTCATCAGAGACCGACAAGCTCATGTTTGGTGGATTTTTGGCCAAGGTTTAGGTGTCAACTTCTGGCGGGCATGGGTCTCTGACAAGTACTGCTTTTGGGTTTCGCTGTCTCTGTATCTGTGGTGGATCCTACGCTCACCGGTGGTTATCTTATCGAAAATCGAACGCCTATAAACGAAGCAAACATTCTAGCCGGGGCTCGAGAGTGTGAGTGCTGTGGCAGGGCCCCCTAAAACCTTATCGACCCCTTTTACCCAGAAACCCAAGTGGGTGCGAATATCGCACCCGATAAGGGTGTTAAACGGCATTGGCACGTTCCGGAGGACGCTTACCAAAGACAATAAGTATGAGGGCCAGCATCACGAAGAACACCAGGTATTCCCGCGAACTGTGGCCCGGATGTCCGTACTGGCGCATAAAGTCCTCCGGCGACGGCGGCTTCGGGTTGAAGATGCTCTCCCGGAGTTCCGCCCGTTCATCATCCGAAATTCCCTCCATGCCCTCCACCAGCTTCCAGATCTCGTCGGCACTGGGCATCTTGAAGTCGGGATGTCCGGGTTCTGGGCCGGCGAAGCCACCCGCTCCTCCGGCAGCGGCGGCAGCTGCCACGTCTTCAGCGAATGCCTGCTGGTTCACCGGATCCTCGGCCATGATCTAATCTTTCGGTTTTCGTTTCTAATTTACGGGCTGTTTTGTGGGGCGGTCGCCTTTAGCGGTTCGCGTCTGAATGGATGGTATATATAGGAAATCATGGTTTACGGTTCTGTTCTCAGGATTTTAGCATGCTACTGGGGGGCAAACAAAATCACAGAAACAAACAACGTGGCAAAACAAACTAATCAGATACGAGTTTGGATTTTAGGACTTTAGGATTTTTATTATCTTTAACACAAGTTTGACACGCGGCATGCAGAGATAATAACGATTGAAATTATTTTACAGATCATATACAGTAAATACACCCCAGATCACACACTCGAATATTATTTAATTTTGGCGCTAGATCGCCGGTGCTTACGTGCTCCGGGCTCTGCTGTTCGGTAGGACTGAGCGCGTGTTCTCTAAAAGTTATATTAAAATCAATACAAAAGTAAATTGCCACTCGTGTGTAATCATTCGCTTATATTTCATTATTCTCAGATATGCCTCATAGTTGATTTTTTGCTGCGCTTTTCGGTTTGGCTCCTGCCTTCGTCAGCATATTTCCAAAGGTAGACCCAAGAAGTTGGCGTTGCGGAGAGAATATGTTTAAATATATAGTGGCGATAAGGGAGAGCCTCTAATCAGTGCCGGACACACAAACACATGGAGACGAAGCCCACACTCGAGAGACAGATAGCTCCAAAGTTATAAGAATGCAAACCATATTTACGCATATTTTGAATTGAAAGTAATTTTCGACAACTAAGAATGTTCCCTATTAAATTCTCTTTTATTTCTCCAATATATATTTCAAGTTTTGCATTTTTCCAAGATCATTTATCTAAGTCCCTTACTACGATTTTAATGAATATTAAGCAAATAATGAAATTAATGACTTGCTTAAAAGAAAAATTATTATATTGTACTATTTAAGGATCTTTATAGGTATATTAAATATTGGTATCCCCAAAAATTATTTATCTAGCTATCATATTGAGAAAGGGCTCTTTAAACTGAGCAGTTCATAAACATTTCATTGAAATATATGTTTTTCGGAGGAGGTTTGACTGTACTACTTGTACCATGGATGGGTGGCAGGTCGATTCCTTATCACACTGCCCTTATCGCGCTGGAAGCCCACAAACTTTTGAATACGTACGCAAGAAATCCAGAATGGAACAGAATGGCCAGATAGAACACGTAAGACAAATTGCCAAAATCACAATCCAAATCGAGACTATCTCAAACCAAAACAGATAATAACGAAAGACCAAGCCAAACACACAAACGATACATCCAACAGCAGTGGCAAAAAGGGGAGTTCCGCAGGGGTAAACATTCAACTGAGTTGCTCGCTTGGTGAAAGTCTTTTGACCCAATTTGCCGGGATTTCGGCCAAGTTATACATATAGCATGCATTAACGTTTAGGGGGGAGGGGGGTTTTAAGTGTTGGTAACAAATGCAGAGCGGTGGGTGGGGGCTTTGGCCGAAACTCACCTGCCAGGGTAAAAACAACAACAGCCGGCACGTAGAAGGCAAAGTCGGGAATTGATTGCTGGAACGGCGAACCGGCGTCGGTGAGGTCAACCATGTTGGAATTATTCAAGATTGATTGTCTTTCGAAAAGAGCACTTCGGCAGCGTCTGCACTACAATTTTAACGTTCTGCTTCCGACTTTATCTATCAATACGTAAAACGTAAGCCAACGTAAGTGTCAGTGAAAAAGATATCTCAATAATTACGAAAAAACGGCAGGAAGCTGCGATTCTCAGACCGATACGATAAGTGCTCGATATTCGATAGACCGACTGCCAAAAAAAATCCCCAATATGGTCACACTGAGTAGGCGGTTCAAAAGAACCGTTACTTAGGCAGCCGTTTTTGAACGCATGAATATTTGTATCACACCAAAAATAAACTTTTAAATCATACTCCTTAAGAAAAAGAAATGAAATCAATACATAAAGTCCCTGAAAAGACACTGAACTTTCGATCACCACGAACTGACGAGATAAGAAGTGAAGTACAGCAACGATTGCTCACTTGGATTAGTATCTGTCTGTCTGTGATTCAGCTTTGTTCGTTTCTTAAATAATGAGGAAAATACTCTATTGTATTTGCGTTTTTTTGCTTCACACGGCCAATGGCACTGTAAATGTAAATTAAATGTACATTACATATTGACTACTAACTATAATTAAAGTCAACAAAAATTTTCTGGTAAAAGGTTCCAATCATCGCACATTGGAGCACTTTCAAAAGTGTGACAAAAAACCAAAAAAAACCTCAACAATTGTTAAAATATTTCAAAATTATTACCCAAAAAAAGTAGAGCACTGGTAATTTAAATTCACTAAATATTTTTATCAGTCTTTCATACTTCAACTCTAGCTGGAAGACAAGACATTTGGTTTTGGAAGAACTAAGTGAAGCTTTAATAAAAAATACAAATAGCAAATATTGGTATAACTTATTCCATAGTATGACTAACCAATCGTTGTTGGTTGAAACCTTTTAAACTTTTACTGCACATAAGTGATACAAATAATATTCTTGAACCTAACTTAAGGAGGAAGAATTCGAGCGCTACAAGGCTGAAATTAATGAAAGATTGGATTATATAGCTGCGCAGCTAAACATGCTGAGTGAGATGGCATCCTCAGGGGTGCCTGGAGTTCAAGGTCCTATGGGTCCTCGGGGTAATCCTGGATTTAACGGACTTACTGGCCAAAAAGGGGTGCCTGGGCAAAAAGGTGACCGCGGAGAGCCTGGATTGAACTTACTAAGTGGAAATACGGACGTCTCAGGAGAGTCTGGCGAATGTCGACCAGGTGCCCCCGGGCCTAAAGGAGACCCCGGCAATCCCGGCCGTCCAGGGCCAAAAGGTGACCGCGGAGCGCATGGATTGGACGGCCCACCTGGAAGTATGGGCGACACAGGGGAGCCAGGCATCATAGCTCCTAAAGGTGACCGCGGATACAGAGGATTGAACGGCAAAAAAGGTGCATTGGGAAATTCGGGCCGAAAAGGAGAGCCCGGCCATCTGGGATTTCCAGGGCAGAAAGGTGATCGCGAAATCATGGGATTAAACGGAGAAAAAAGGGGAGCCTGCCACTCCTGGTGGACTTATACGATTCCTCACCGATTAAATGTTCTTACTTTAGACTGAATTTCCATTTATCACTTTTTTGGTGATGAATTATTATCACTAGCGCTTGTTCAGCTAAAGCAGCGTCCACAGAGATTATGTTTAATTACGGTATGGAAATCAAACGAAATATGTAACATTTTTAAGAAGTCAGGTAAATAAATATTAAGAAAATCAAAAAATGTTTTGTAAATTACAATTCCCTGGCTTATAATTATAGGAAAATGTTGGTATGGAAAATTTGATATCAGAAATGATGTACGTTGACATTGTTTTAAAAAACCCACATCAATGTTGGAATCAAATAAACTCGTTTAGTTTTCGCAAATGTCTAATATAATAATAATATATTCTAATGTTTTATAAGAACAAAAATGCAATGTAATTACTACTGTCACATATATATATGAAAATATAAAGAAATTTTAAAGATTTGTATTTAATTACTTAGTGCTACAGTATATACAAGCTCCGACTGGAATGAAACGGAAAGTTAAGCACCCAGGCCGCACTGCGTAACATAGGCTTTTGCCAGAGCACACTGGGCATTTTGCGTCCACCGATGATCCGGACAGTTCTTGAAGTATTCCATATAGGTGCATCCGAGGACGATGGCGGAGAAGGGACTGCATCTCGGTTGTTGCTGCTGAGGCTGTTGCTTCAGGGACTGTTGCTGCTGCAGTTGCTGTTGCTGTTGCTGCAGGATCATTGCCAATCTGCGCTGAGATTGGGGCTCACACTTGGAGTAGGCCATCGTCATTGCTTCCACATAGACGCTGTCGTTGGAGAACTTGGCCGAGAGATCACTGCGTATGTTGGCCAAGCTCAGTTTTTGGGGCTCCTCAATGTACTTGGAGGAAGTGAGAATGCACTCGGCAAGGCACTAAGTCACCGAGAAACGAATATATTAAAAGGGTTTCAAATAGTTTCCTGAGATTACCTACTGCTGCCGTGTCAAGTGATGGCGGACCTCCTGGCTTCTGTCCACTTGCTGCTCCTAGAATCCGCTGTGCACACTGCTCTGACACCTGGTCACGACCTCCATCCCTGCAGCAAAGTGAAGGATCCTAGAAGAAACAAAAAAATATCTTTAGAATCCATTCAAAATTGCTTAGATCCCATTTATGACTCACCACAAGTTGCGGCGGTCTTTGACAATCGATGGTGGTTTGGCCAAATACATGATAACTATTTAGACCCAATAGCACTGAGATCAACAAAACCTGACTGGGCGACATTACTGCGATTGAGTGAATAATATGACTGATATGAATATGGAATTGCTAGGCCCATTTTATATCCCTCACGAAGCACCACATCTAATGGAACGCAAAGAGTAGTGACCACTTAATTGTGCCAGCCACGCATGACCAGAAAAGCCCAGCAAAAGTTCATTGTTGCAATCTGCTGCTGTTTGGGGCCAATGTCATAAATAATGTCACGTTTTGGGCCGTTGACATTGCAGTAAGGTTATAGTTCGTTATATAAGCATAGAACGTTTTTCGGTCAATTTAACAGCAATTGCCGAAAAAAGTAAAGCTGGGGATTTCGGTTCTAAGTGTGTCATGGTGCTCGAAACGAGTTGTAACTGCGATAATTACATTTCAATTTTGTTAATATAGATTATGATAAAGTAATAGCATTGTTAGAACTTTACTAAGTCTGTAATAATAAATAAGCAAGAGATATATAAACTTTGATTTCTGCCGCCTTTCAATGCAACAAGTTGGCAGCCCTATAAGAAATATTAATCAAATTAGTAATCGATTTCTCAGTTATCGATAACCATGGACGCGGGCACCAAAATGTGAGTAAATAAATCATGGAATTAAACCATGAATTAAAGATTTAATATTGCCTTTTCCTCCTAGCTTAGTTGTGGGCGATGTGCGCGGTCGCTTCAAGCAACTCTTCCAGCGCGTGGAGCAGGTGAACAAAAAGGCGGGACCTTTTGAAATCCTATGCTGTGTGGGTGACTTTTTCGGCGAGGACAAACAAAACGAGGAGCTAATAGCTTACAAAAATGGATTCAAACATAGTAAGTATAGTGGAATATAAAAATGTGCCACTGTCTATATAATCTCCATATTCCCAGTTACCGTGCCCACCTATATCCTTGGCCCCAACTCGAAGGATCATAGGAAATACTTTGAAAATCTGGCCGATGGTGAAATCTGCACCAATCTTACATACCTCGGCCGACGTGGAGTCTACACTCTGAGCAGTGGTGTCAAAATAGCCTACTTAAGTGGCTTGGAGGCAGCGGGCACTGCGGATTCCTCTGGCTCGGAGCACGAGTTCAACAAAGCCGATGTCATTGCCGTAAGGAACTCCTGTTTGGTGTCCAAAAACTGTTCTACGGAGTACCGAGGAGTAGATGTGCTGCTCACTTCCCAGTGGCCATTCGGCATGCAGGAGAAGGAAAACGTATGTTTTGCTCTGGAGTCCCCATATCAATGTATCTGAGCAATCCCTCTTTCCAGGCCACTGCCTCTAAGTTGGTGTCATTTCTGTGCCGTGAGATAAAGCCACGGTACCACTTCTGCGCCATCAATGGAACCCACTACGAAAGCGCTCCTTTTCGGATGCCCAAGGACGAGACCACGCAGTTTGAGCTGTGCACTCGCTTTATTTCTCTTGCGGAAGTGGGAAATGCAGAAAAGGCCAAGTACATTTACGCACTCAGTCTTAAGCCAGTGGACAAGTCTCGTCTACTGGACCTGGTGCAGAAGACCACCAACGAAATCCCTTGTCCTTTTATCGGTTTGGACTTGGGCGGAGCCATCAACAAAAATGACTCGGTGGGTAATCATCAAATCTTCTTTAATAAACATACTTATTCAAAGTGCACTCATATTCAGTCCGAAAATCGACAATATTTTTATGACATGGATGGCGGCAGTCGTAAGCGCCAAAGCGGTGATAATAACAGAAGGGATAAGCGCCCAAGAATTCCTCAGATTGAGCAAGGTATGTTATCTGGTTCGTTGTTCAATTAGCTGTACTATTGATACATTTTCCTTTCCACATAGATAAATGCTGGTTCTGTTTGTCTTCACCCGATGTGGAAAAACATCTTATTATCACTGTGGGCGAACACTTTTATCTAGCTCTGGCTAAAGGACCCATCAACAAACATCATGTCATGATATTGTCCACCAAACATGTGCCCTGCGCTGCTCAACTCAGTCCAGATGATTGGGAGGAGCTAAATAAGTTCAAGGCAGCCTTACGAAAGTTCTTCAAAACCTTGGGACAAGTTGTGTGCTTTACTGAGCGGCATTACAAGTCTGTTCACCTGCAGATCAATGCACTTGGCTTTGAAGAAGGCTATGCCTGGAAGATAAAACATAGTTTTGAGGTATAATTACAGCAACAGCCTATAATAAAATGTATTACTCATATATCTACATTTCAGGACAAGGCGGAGGAATTCAATCTGGAATTCGAGACCTTGCCGGCATTGGATTCTGAAAAAATGCTACCGGAAATGGGACCATATTTCCTGGCTGAGTTGCCCGACGATAGCACTCTTATAACGCGGCAAATGAAACATTTTCCCATTCACTTTGCCAGGTGCGCTACCTTTATATTTTGTTTTGACAACTGCTTCACTAATCGCATATTTCCAGGGACGTATTCTGTTCTGAAAATCTACTGAACTGCGATGAGAAAGTCAACTGGAAGGATTGCCTGCTCGACAAGGAAGAAGAAATTTCGTATGTTGAAGATTTCCGAAAGGCCTTTGCACCTTTTGATTTTACAGACGATTAAACAAAATATGCTTTATGTATGTATAGTAAAAATTTCATTTCGGTTGTATTTGCTGAGCCCATGCTAACAGTTCATCAATATAAATGCTTAAACTACAGTTTAATTTAAAACGTATTCGTTATGTCGGCGCAATCGAGAAATTTAGGAGTCACGTTGATAGATCTTGTTGAGAATTTGCAGGAAGGTTTGGTGAGGCACCCCGCGAGAGGTTTGTTGTATGTGAGTTTTAATCATGTTGTAGGATTCCTCCTCAAAAATGGCATATGTGGATGGCAGTCCCAGTTCCTTGTAAAGCTCCTTGACGCGTTCAACTTTAGCTGGATCTGCAAGTTAACTAATAGTTAATAACTTACTCTAATACCTAACTAGGTAACCTTACCTTCTTTACCATAGCAATCGATCATGATTTGCTTTTGCTCCACATTGGCTCGCTGCATGGCCACCACTGCCAGCCAGGAACACTTGTTGTCTTGAATATCAGTTCCGATTTTGCCGGTTACTTCCGGGTTACCAAAGCAGTCAAGGAAATCGTCTTGTACCTGGAAAAAGTTGCCCATTTCTAGGAGAATGGTCTTTGATTGCCGGAAGGCCTCGGCGTCCTTGTAGCTAAACAAAAGAACACAGGATTAGTAAGCGAAATCTTAGAAATGAGAATCATGACCCACCCAGCCAAGTGTAAGGCGATGGCAAATGGAAGGTAGAATGTGTAATAGGCAGTCTTGTTTTCCACAATCGCTTTGTAGTTTTCCATGGTGAATTCCGAGACACAGCGGTTCGAGTTCAGCTGGTCCAACGATTGTCCGCAGGTGGTGATGTATGTGATTTCGTGGAATAGCTCCATTAGGGCCACGTAGCAGTCTAAGTGACTGAAATGCATTTTCAGAATGGCATACATGGCGTTTTCGATCATGAGGGCATCGTTGATGGCGGTCATGCCAACGTTCTCCACCTTGTGCCAGCAGGGCTGACCGCGTCTGGTGGTGCTGTTGTCCATCACATCGTCGGAGATGATGAAGAAGCTCTGGAGCTACAGGTGCAATATATTTTAGAAATTTTAGGAACACCTTTGTACACTAGATTCCTACCATTTCCACACACCAGCCCAGATACTGAGCGAGTTTTATGTTCTCGGGCGTCAGATCCTGGGCGGGAACCAGATTCTTATACGTGAGAACGGTGAGGATGCCCCTGTTCTTTTTGCCCCGGGGCACATTGTACTGCAGGACCTGGGCGAACCACTTGGCCGCATCGTTGCAATTATAGTTCTTTGTCACGGTGGTGATGTCACGCACAAGATCTGCAAATCGGAATAGAATTAGCAGTAGTATTTGCATGATAATTGGCATAAGTGATGACAGCTTACCTGGGAACACGGCCATAAAGTCGCGACTCTCATCTTTCGACACCGTGACGCGAGCGGCAATGGGAACGGAGTGATTTTGGAGCGTCGATAAGGTTCTATGGACAACAAAAAGTGGAGAACAATAGAGTTGCAGAACTAACAAAGCCACAAATACACACACGCATACATTCGGATTTGGTCTACGTGACTGCATAAGTGGGTACGGTACAATACAAACTTTCTCCCCCACAGAAAACAGAGATATGTACCCCGAAATTCCGCATCCGAAATCACGCCCAAATCAGGCATCTGATACATGCATACCATACCGGTCGAAACGTAAACAAAACAAACGGGCAAAGCAAAGGTCAAGTGCGAGAACCGGTAGGTTGGTTACCTGCTTGTCTTCTTCAGCTTCTGCTCGTTGACCAGTTTTGTGGGGAGGCCGCCAATAGTGTCCATGGATTTCAGGATGGGCTCCGCGTTGACCTCGTCGCTGGTGGAGATCAGGCGCTGCAGGCGCAGCGGGTTGGCGAGCCTACGCTGCTGCGGCAGGAGCATACGAGCCAGTTTAAACATCTTAATTCACAATTCGAAGCTGGAAACTAGTGCTCGACAAAAACAAAATTGAACTACTGCCAGTGTGCCCGGAGTGCGATTTATGAATGTACTTTTAAGTGTTACCTAAAATACAACGTTAAAAGTAACGGTTTCTTAGCTACTTTTTATAGCTAAAATTTTACTGACGCTTAAGGAATTTTTTGATTCAATTGATGCTAAGTTTCTTTAAAACTAATTAATCAACGATGATTTGATACTTAAAAAAGAACAGCAATTCAACAATCCTAGCATACAAAGCATACCTTAATAATTTATAAGATTTCTAAAATTTCTGACAAAAACTTTTATGATTCCATTGCTTTTATCCTAGCAACAGGTTAGAACCTATATCAAGTAAATAGAAAACATTTAAATAGACATACCTATTGCTTTTTAAATAAATAAATCGATTCAAAGAAACTACAAAAGTGTTGTCACTAGTAGCGACGCCAGAATCCCTGGATACTATCGATAGGCAGTCAGCTTGTGTTGTCATTTTTTTAAATATGGGCGATCTGCTGAGCGTAGGTTTGATCAAATAATTTAATTAAACTTACATTCATTGGTCCTCCCAATCAGAACTCGGAGTTTTTCAAGAAGCTGGGCGTGGACAGCTCGAATCAGTGGATCCTCTACGATGAGCAGATGGAGCAGTTCTTCAAGTTCCTCTCGGGGAACATCACGGATGCGAATATCCTCACGGAGCGACAGTCTCTGGAGGCGGAGGAGATGCAGCGGCGAGAGGAGTGGCTAAGTAAATCGGATCGCGAGTTGAAGTTGCTGCAGATCGATTCGGAGAGCCCTGGTCTTCTGAGTTACAAACAGCAGGATGTGGACGCTCTGAGCATGGGCATTGAAGCGATCGAGGAGGCGTCTAGGGATTATGCCACGCTTCTGGAGGACATGATGTAAGAAATTTGTAACATGGGCCTGGTTTTTAGGTGCCGCAGGATCAGTCTAACTGCTCTAAAACGTTCAATGTTTAGAAAGCCAGTCCAACTTATCTTAATCTACTAGTTCCATGAAAACGCTTACTCTTTCAAGATCCTAGATCTTCGAAATCCCCTGAAAACATCCTGATTTCCTTCTCATACTTCCTTCCTTTGCAGAAATACAAAGAACTCCATAAATAACCACCTGAGCGAAGTTGAGTGCGCTGCCGCCGAGCTGCAACTAAGGGAGAAGGATCTGATAGCCGAGTGTCAGTCCAAAGCCAAGCAACTGGAGGAACTGCAGCGGGAGAACTGCCGACTAAGCAGCGAGGCCAAGAAGGCCTTTACCTCCCAGCAGTCGCCGCCACTCTTTATGCATCAACTGCCACTGGAGCAGTACTTCCACAAGTGCGACTCCTTCATGCAATACTTTACTCTGTATGTAAAGGAAAACTTCAAGATTCAGGACTATGATGAATTCCAGAGCGCAGAGGCAGATCTTCTGCAGGAGAAGGCCAAGCTGGAGGACTTGCAACATGGGTAAGCTTAGATATCCCATGACTTAAGAAGTAAACTCACACGAACTTACCTTGCAGCATCCAGTTTTATGCCCTATCCTATATAAGGACCAAAGCCAAGGCCAAGGCCACGCAGGCTCTAATAGATCAGCTGGATCTCGGCCATATACACTGCCTTAGTTTGGCGGATATGACGCGCGAAATGCACGATTTGCAGCTACTTAACGATCATCAGCTGAGCAACATTTTCGATACGCTCTTAAATGATCTTACTATTCACATTCAGCAGCACACCCAGCGGCGTATTGAGCTCGTACTCTACGAGAATACCAAACTCAAGTTGGATCGAGCTGTTCGGCGCCACGAGAGTGACAAGAAGCTGACCAAAATCATATCGGATGCTCTGTCCAATGCGGAACTGTTGTGGATTGCGATCCAGCTGGACTGTGACAAGAAGCGCAACTGCCTGGACACATCGGAGGAGCTGCATAACCAAGCGCAGACCACCTGGCAGAGGATTCAGACAATGCGGTCCATCAATGCCAGCTACCAGGGAATTTGCGCTCCGTTTGTGCAGGAGATTGCCAATCTGCTGTCAGCCCATTTGGGACAGAACATAAAGGCTGGCGAGGCCAAGGCTTGCCTATTTGAGTACGAAAAGTTCGGCCGTCTGCTATCGTATTCGTTTCAGAGCATGCAGAAAAAGTCCTGTGTGGCTGCCCAGGATCAATTGGCAGAACTGTGAGTTGAAACATAAACAATTTGTATCTTATTAACTCTTTACCCTTTCCCACAGCAAGCGTTTGGAGCAGACCTTGCGACCCTTTGTCTATGATTCCCCCATTGAAAGGCCAATGTTTGAGAATGTCCGGTACTTGAGCGCCATTTACAATGTCACCCAGCAACAAAATCGTCTCGATGAAGCCGTGCGATCCTTGCGGACAGATTTCCTCGAAAATGTAGTCGGCCGCATTGTAAGTCAGCTTTTATCCAAAGTTATAGAGTCATGTCGTGCAACTATTTTAAATTTACTTTTATTTATTTCGGACGTTTCAGGAAAAGGATAAACTTTGGCGCTATAGCGTAGTCCTTTGGATATGGTTCCTCACTGAACCGCATCGCATGATGCATGCAATCGATGAAGTTAAAAAGGCAGCCGCCGGTGTGATCCGCCCTGGTGGCGGTCTGCAGCGCAAATGAATTTAGTTGATAACGAAACTAGTCCGCAAGTAAAGTTTAAATTATTAAAAAAATTATTTCAACTAAAGCACATTTTTGAAAAGCCTTTATAATTTCAGTTTTCTGTGTAAATTTTACACAGTAGAACTACAGATTTGTAAAGTTCATTGCAAACTAGTTTTGTGGGGATATACATTAAATTTAATTTTAAATTAAGGAAACACATCTTATAAAATATAACATTTAAATTTAAGAGCTCCGCTGGAATAATTTTTAACAACTATAAGGTTTACATATAAATCTTTTTAGCAACCATTTGGAATAACAATACCTGAAAGGCCTTTCGCCACCCTTTAATTTGACCGCCGCTTATCTTGATCATCAGTAAAGTTACTAAAATTTGAAAAAATACTTGAAACAAATGTTTCTTCAAACATTCAAATAATAAAAATTTGAAATCTAAGTTATATGTGATGACTTTAGATCAGTTAACATCACAAAAAAAAAAATAAAAAAGTTTATTAAGTTTTTAAAATTATTTTATTAGTACAAAAAACTTATTTAAAAAAAAATGTTTAGTTAAAGCAGTTACTTTAAAAATAAAAACACAACGACTCCCGCGCTCTGGCCACACTGCCGCGCTGCCTGCAAGCCAGTGTTGGAAATGGCCTGACATACACCAAAGGTAAATTGGCAGCTAAAAACGCGAATTAGAATAACATGATGGACGAGCAGCTAATTGACGAGGTGGCGCAGCACGGGGTGATCTACAACCGGCAGAAGTATTACCTGAACGGCGGCGCCAATGGCGGCAAGTACGAGACGAAGGATGAGGCCTGGCAGCTGATTGCGATGAAGCTGCGGACGGACGGTGAGGCACGGGAGCTCCTCCGGCCAGACCTTGTATCTTAATGTTGTCCTCCTTTGCAGTGGACACGTGCAAGAAGCGCTGGAAGTACCTGCGCGAACGCTACGTCTCACAGCGGAAGCAGGGCGATCCGCCCGTCTACGAACACCTGTCGCGCCCATACCTGGAGAAGATGAAGTTCCTGGACCAGCACATACAGCCACGCAAGTCGTACCGCCATGTGCCGAACTTCCTAACGTCTCCGCAGTCGGCCAACAGCTCTAGCTATAACGAATACCAGGTGGACAAGTCGAATGGCTCCATGAAAAACGTGGCACAGTTTGGCAGCTCGGGTCAGAGCCATCACTACCACCAGCCGGATCAGCAGCACGCCATGAGTGCTCTAAGCACCGCCGCAGCTTCGGCGCTGGAAAACGTCAATGGCCAGGTGAAGATCGAGGCGGATCAGGTCTTCAGGGACTTTGCGGCAGCCGTCGCCTCACAGCAGCTGCAGCACATCTCACAGTCACAAATACAGCAACAGGCGGCGGCCGTAGCGGCTGTGATGGCCGACTCCTCGCAGGGCTACCAGGATCAGTACAAAGATGGCTCCGTGGGCGTAAACGGGGCCCAGAACAGCGCCGGCAGCCTGACCTCAACCTCGTCCTCGATGAAATCACCACTCTCATCTCCGCTGCAAGGAATCGGAGCGGGCACACATCATCCTCAGCAGCATCAACAACAGCAACAACACCAACAGCAGGCGGCTCAGCAACAGTCACCGGCATCTGGTCAGCAGCTTCCGGTGGTACATTCCTCTTCCAACGCCGTAGGCGCTTCCATCAGCAACAATTCGAACCTGCAAATGCAACAGCCACACGTCTACAACCCTAAGGGCGACGATTTGGATTCGTCGGCATCAAGCAATTTCCACATGAAAAAACCCCGTGTTCAGCTCAATGGCAGTGCTCACAACCAGATGACCAGCAATGGCAGCCACTTTGGCAACGATTCGGATGACGATTCCGACGACAATAGCCATGATCTGCTCGAGCCGCAGGTATTGATGCAGCAGGAGAACCACTACAGTAATTCTATGCCCATGCAGCGGGGCAATGGAAATGGAAATAACACCAGCAGTAATAGCGGGAGCAACAATACCAGCGGTGGCAATAACATCCATAACAATCAGCAGCAACAACAGCACCAGAACATGTTTCCGTCAAACACGGACTTCCTATTCCAGTTGTACCAGCAGTTTCCACACCAGGCCAGCGGTTCACACCCCTCAAACTTCGGGAAATTCCAGGCGCCGCCCAATCATCCGGGCGTGCAGCGATTATCGGAGCATCTGCTTGGAGAGTTGGTCACCACAGAGCTTCTCAAGATGAACAAGGAGCGCAAGAAGAGTGCACAAAAGCGAATACTAGAAATACTATTCTTCGACGACTAAAGGTCTAGACACTAAGTTCTGTAAATAATGTAATCTATAATCCGTAACTTATGTTAGCTGATAGACGTCCTATGGTTCAGCCAGATTATTGGGTTGCGTTGGTCCCAAGATCCCACCAAGAAGGCATTTGCAAAGCTGTCCTCTCAAACACTATTCAACTGTGCTAGTCAAGGCCAGCAATCAGAACAATTGGGATTCCCTATCTGCATTAATTTATATATTTACGTTTAAGAAGTATTGAGTGGTTTTAATTTATTAAAAAGTGTTAACTAAACTGTACTGCAGTCTTTCTAAGCAAAAAAAGAGTTGCAAATTAAAAAGAAAGAGTTAATAATGGTATGTAAAGCTTAGTGACCTACTAAGCAGCACAGGTTTATTTTCAGTTACTTTAAGTAGCAGCCCTGTTGCTTGATTTATGTGCGGACTCTGACCGATCCTCTAGTTGCTTGCATAGAGGACTTCAACTTAAACCACAAATCCCCGCCGGCTACTGTCTGCAACGGAAACTGCCACTGCAACTGGCAATTGGCCTAGCTCGTTAACCCTCAGATGGCAAGCCGCTCAATGTGCCACTGTGGCACTGCAATTGCATCCTGCTGATTAATGACCGCTTTTGCATACCTCCGGGCAGAACGAAAGTCTGCTGTGATATGGATAAGTTTAGGCTTTATTGCATTTCATATCTTAGCTGGTATAGCGAATAATTGTGTTTTCTGTTGTTAGGCTTAGATAGACTATGTTAAATAGCATAAGATCATAATATTTGGATACTGGTCAGCGGTGCGATTCTTAGGCTACTTGATGGACCACCGAATTTTCGGAGTCCCACGCATTTAGCTAGCGTATGGATATTTTTCGGTTTGTCTTTGATTAACTGGAGTTTAGAACCTTTAGCTTATTTACAACTAATCACAGGAGGATTGGAGTTTGGATCTCAGACCTCCTGATTGTCTTCGGACTCGGCCACCATGGTCAGACTTCGCAGCGATCTGTAAACGAAACACAAAGAGGCCTTAATCAGTAAGCTTAATTCAATTCCAAATATTTCGCAAGAGAACGGCAGAGAGGGATGAGTTCAAGATTCATTCGACTGATATGGTTTATCGCCTACCCAGCTTCCCAGCTTTTCAGTCTGAATCTGACAACTCATCAGCATGGAATACCTACGCCTCTGTCTGGTTATTTTGTTAGTCTGTTTAGTCTGTGCCCATGCACGTAAGTTTGATTTAAATAAGAGATTGTGCCCAACTTGGAAGTTAACTTCTGGTTTAGTTACAGGTGATATGCTCACGTTCAACGGCTTGTGCCAGTTGCAAGGCGACTGGTGCTCTACCAATTGCCAAATAGCCGGAGGACGGGATGGACTTTGCAACAAGGTGGGCCTCTGCGTCTGCAGACCCTTGTAGTCTCGTGACGGTTAGACAAATCGGAATAAATGGCGAACATATTTACAATTACGATAGGTGATCGTGGACTTTTCTTTCCTCGGATCTGTTACATTATGGCCCTGCACTTGCCTGGAACGCTCGAAGAGTGAGGGATCCGTATAGATGGGCTCGCTGGGATCCTCGAACTGGTGACTACCCTGGTTGGTGTTGCGCATGGGATTTATCACTGGCAGCTGGCACATGCGCGCCAAGTTGCTGTAAAGACATAAAACACCCCATATAAGTGGACCGGTTGGGCGATTGGCGACTCGTCTGGCGGACAGCCTTTCCTCACCCCGTGGCAAATGTCTTGTGTAATGAGCCGCCGAACATGGACATGTTGGTGCGAAAAGCGTTTGAGGCCCGATTCGATGCGCTCTGATTGGCTCCGCCCCCAGTACCTCCTGCTCCACCGCCTCCTCCTCCACCTGCTCCTCCGCCTCCAGTCAGGTTGGGCATATGTCCGATCTCGGTGAACCGCTCATGAGTGCGTATGGAGGAATGGGAGTGTCCGAGCGAATGGATCGGCGAGTGTCGGTCCACAAGTCGGTTCTTAGAGATGGATTTCCAGTAGCGTCTGGGAAAGGCACCAATTAGCACTGATCTTTAGCCTGTTGAGTGGTTCCTACCTGTATCCTAGACCAGCCACCAGCGTGATGCTAAATAGCAGGATCATTAGCAGTATAATGGCTGTGATCAGACCGTGATACTCGGCCGGAGTCATGCACACAGTTTCCACTGGGGCCACCAGCTTGCGGGGATATGATTCCTTCTCGATTTCCTCGCGGGTTTCAAAGACCTAAATCGATTCCATTACCATTAGTGAATAGCCTCACCTAATTTTATATCCCACTTACCTCTATCATTTCCCGCACTTGTTCCGGTTCCTCAGTCTCCTTGGTCTTCTCTCCCGACTGGGTATCATTTCCAGGAGCTTGTCCCAAAGTAGCACTCACTGTGGTGCTGTTTACCACAGTGACCTCATCCAAAGTGGAAGCCTCCATTTGGTTATTGCTCTCCAGAGCGAGAGCCTCTGGTTCGGGTTCCTCGGTGGTGTTCAGAGATCTTCGACGGCGACCAAAGGAGGGCTCCTGACGACCCGCTGGCCCAGGACAATAGGCAGGCTGGCATCCTTCGCGACAAGAGCGTACGGTGGCCTCAAATACCAGGAAGTTGGATTCGGGTATCTTGAAAGCATTGAAGCGGGCTTCCAAAGTGTCACCATCGCGCAGCTTGTCCAGTTCAGGGAACACGAATGGATCTACTGGGCACCCAAAGCGATCTATTAGTTGGATACTGCGGCCGGAATATGGATCCCTGGCCACCACATTTGTGGCGAATATGTCGGTCACATGGTTGTAGCCATCCTGAGCCTCCAGCCGGAAGGTCAGAGGATCACCCACAGCGATGGTGGTAGTGGGTCTGCCCTGGTAGAGGATACTCAAGCGCACCTTAGAACTAAGAGTATTTTCCGCTGGCAGATACTCTATAGGAATGGGACTGCCGGATCTAAAAAGTGAGCTGTGTAAGTGGGAGACTATGGCGTTTGAAGAAGTGTCTTATTACCCTGCTCCGATATAACCAGAGCTAACCACCGCCTCTCCTGGACCGCGGAAGATGCAGGTCAGATTGTAGCGCTTGTCCCTGCTGGTCTGCACATTGTCCGAGAACTGAACCACCACAATGTTGGTCAAAGTGTCACCATACTGTAAAATATACATGATTGATTATAAGCGGTTTTCTAACTATGTATCTCCTTAGAGATCAGTTTCAAGATAATTCTGGGAAGGTTTTTATACAAATGTGTATGATTAATTAGTAGGGTTTCCCAAATATAAATGGGTTTAGAGATCTGTTAAAATATATCATCTTTCCAATGGCATTAGTAACTTACCCGCTGGGTTCCACAGTCGGGATATCCCTGGGGTCCGCTGAGCCTTAATACATTGACAGTGCCTCCATTTCCACGGAAGAAGCAGCGATCATAGAATCCATAGGTGTATATACGTCCCAAGAAACCCTCCGGTGTTCGGATGGTGAACTCCATGCCCTCCTCGTTACACGTTTGCGTGACTAGCCCAGATCATGCGAGGAATATATATTTTATTTGGATAAGATAAATTTACATTTCAATAGTCTCTCCACCCACCGTCCATGCACTCGCCATCACTGCGTCCGATGCTGCGCTCATAGAAGTCATAGTTGGAGGCGTCGAAGGTGCCCGGATCGTGGATGTCCAGCTCCCGTGAGTCTCTGTCACTTAGCTCGCAGTTCGGCGACTCGCGATCCCGATCCCTATCTCTGTCCTCGTAGCTGGAGGCGGCCGAGTCTCTACAAATTGAAATTTACAATGTGAATTTGTAGCGGCTCGTGTTCGGCTTATCTTGTATCTGCTAGCCACATCCGCACCCACCTGTAGTTGAAGCTGCGGCACACAAAGTCCCGACTCTCGATGCACTCCCTCTCGCACTGGATGAGGCTCGGAACGATCAGAGCTCGTCGCACAAAGTGACGACGCATCTTGTGCCTGGCGGCTATCTGCTTAAAGTTATCGCTCTCCTCGCAGCGGGTGATCGGAGGACGCGGTGGACCCGAGTTGACACCCACGCCCACACCCACATGACCTCCTCCTCCTCCTCCGTAAGGAGTGGGTGGATGGGATAGTCCTAGCCCAGGCAATGGAAGGGGACGATCATCTAGGCCATTACCACCATAGGGACGATTAAAGGGACTATCATAGCGTCCATAGGGACCACTACTTGGAGGTCTTCTGCCCGGCGGACCATCGTACTCTCGATCATACGGTCCGTATCTATCACCATAGCGTTCTTCGTAGTCGTAGTCATAGAAAGGAGGTGGTGGACGTTCTAGGCCTAAGGGGGTAAACCAATTAGCATTGATATTTCCTCATCTCCACTTGCCACCATATAAGTTACGGGTTACGAGTTGGTAGTTAGTTAGTCCCGTCCCGAAGTACTTACCCGGTCGTCTGCCAATATCATTGGCTCCCGGACGATTGCCGTATTTGTAGATGTCAATGGGATAACGATCGTTACCTACCGGAAACCGGTTCGGAGTGGAGGCATACTTGCTGGCACTGCCTGTGGGAGCGATTGGCGCTGGTGGATATCGCTTGGCCGAATCGGGTTCGGGTCTCCGAGCACTATGTACGATATCATCGTATCTTCCCGGTGGTCCCCTTGAGTCTGGCAGGTATGGGTACCTTGGAGAATCCATGGACGAAGGCCGGTAGCGTCTGTCCGGGAAAATGCTATCGGGAGCATCTCTGCCCGTATAACCGCCCACGGGATCTCGTTCGCGGCCAGGAGGAAAACGGGGAGGATAACGACTGTCGTATCTGTTTTCTCCATAGCGACCTCCTCCATATCCTCCATAGGGACGGAAGGGAGCATCATCGTCGGTGGGATAAGGTCGTGTGTGCGGCAGATCGCTGGCCAGACTATTGTCATTGATTCCTGGATAGGGCAGTGGGCGGTAAGGCAACCGGTCGCGATCACGATCTCTTTCCCTGTCCGGATAACGCCGATCTCCATATCTGTCCGCATAGCGCTCCGGCGGATAAGGGTCCGGATAGCGATCTCTGTCCCTATCGCCTGGGTAACGATCCCTGTCGCCAGCTCCAGGATACCGATCCCTGTCGCCAACTCCTGGATATCGATCCCTATCGCCAGCGGCTGGATAGCGATCCCGATCTCGATCCCTCTCACGATCGCGGTCTCTATCGCCATTGACACCCGCACCCATGGGGTACCGATCTGATGTGGGTGGTTAGTGAATTAGTTGTCAGTAGAATTAGAGTAAGGTGATCTCGTTTTGCGGTTGTGAG